GAGATCGAACGGTCCACGACCGGCTCACGGGGAAGGGCGACGATGACGTCGGCGATGACGTCACCACCGGCGACGGCTCGGGAGCGCAAGCTCGCCGGCGAACGACGGCGCGAGGACGCAAACGGAGGGCACCAACGGGTAGAGCGCGACGCGGCGAACTCACCGGTGACCAAAGCAACAGCGGAGGAGCAACGGATGGCGCCGGCGACGAGGAAGAAACGGCGGCGGTTTTCGGGTCGACGGTGACGGCGGTGCTCCGGCGGTCTCCGGCGGCGACGAAGAGGCAGACGAGGACGGCGGTGACTTGACGATCACGACGGCGACCTTCCCGAGCGACGACGACGGCTGAAACGACGGCGGCGCACGGCTGGAGCGGCGGCGACGACGGCGGCTCGAAGCTACACGGCGCTAGGGCACTACGGACGACGAGAGGCGAAGGCAAAGGTGGCGGCGGGTAGAGAAGAGCTCGGGGAACCTTTTAAAGGGGCTAGGAGGCGACGACGAAGGCCCACGGCGGCCGGCGACGGGAAGGAAAGATCGGGGTTTGAAGGAAAGAGACCGATCCGATTCGACCTCGAATCCACGAGTTTCCAAACCGAATTAGGCGATGATTCCATAAGAGAAAAGGAAGAGGAGATCGAGAAGATCATTTCCCCTCTATTGATTTCACCGGATCGGGAAAGGATCGACCGGATTTGGAAGGAGACGACGGCGGCGCGGCGCTAGGGTTCGAGCGGCGGCCGGCGCGAGGAGGAAGACAGGCCTGACAGGTGGGCCCCACCTGTCAGCGGCACCGAGAGAGAGAAGAGAGCAGCGGCTCGAGCTGGGCCGACTGGGCCGGGGAGAGAGAGAGAGAGGAGGTTTTGGGCCGGCTTTCGGCCCAAAGCCAAAAGAGACTTTTAAAAACCTTTTTCAATTTAAATTATTCATGAAATGCAATTCCATTTATTAAAAATACTTCCTTAGCTCAAATAAATCCCAGAAAAATCTAGGAATTATAGAATTAAGCAAAGTATTTAACAAAATTTTATCTAGCCCAATTTTATATTGAGATTTAACAGATTAAAATTAGATCTTCTCTTCTAGGCTTTTAAAATCATTTCTAATAATTCCTTTTAAACAACAATTTATAATTTAAGGATTTTAAACAAGAAAAGCTCTTAACAAATATAATTAGATCATTAAAATCAAATAATTACTGAACTGTTCTTTGTATCATTTAGGAATTGAGCTCCGAAAAATCCGAGAAAATTTCAGAGAGTTGACTTAATCATGGAGAATTTAATAAAAATTAAATCCATCCATGCTTTATATTAAGGAAATTTTATTTCCCACATTTAACTTCACTTGTAAATTAAAGATCATTTAACATAAATTCTATTATTAATTTATTAAATAATTTATAAATCCTGAAACAAAAATCAGGATGTGATAAATCTACCCCCCTTACAAAGAATCTCGTCCCGAGATTCGGAACGGCTAGAAAGAAAAGGGCATAGGTAAACTGTAGTCTATCTTATTATTCCATAACTCAGATAATTATTCTAAGGCTTTAAAGAAAACTACTGCTGCTTTGAAACTAGTGGCTGAGCTGTAACACTTGAAGACGCAACTCTTGAAGACGCAACTGGCACTGCATTGGCTCCTGTGACGACAATGTTGTTGACCTGACCTTGCGGCTGCTGACGCTTCGGCTTCGGACACTCTCTTGCAAAGTGGCCTGGCTTGTAACAGTTGAAACATACCTGCTGCTCCCTTCCACTAGTGTTATTCTCCTGAGACTGGTCCTGCTGAACTGGCACCGGCTGATTAGCTTGCTCGATGTTAACATCATTGCTTTCATTAGTCTCTGATTTGATCTCACCAGCGATGTTCAATTGTTGCGACTGTCCTTGACCAGCGGAAGAAGATTCACCAATTTGGAGTGGCCTGATATGCTGCCTCTGGCTACTACCTTGTGCCTCCTGGAATACAGTCATTCTCCGTTTACGGTTATCCATCCTGTTCTTCTTGTCTTCAAGTCGAATTGCTTTGTCAACCAGCTGCTGAAAATCAACATAGTCATGGGAGATCAATGTAACTGACAGTTCATCCTTCAGGCCTTCCAGGAACTTCTCCTGCCTTTCTTCGTCAGTACGCACATCTTCTGGAGCATAACGTGCCAGACGATTGAACTCATGAAGATACTCTGCCACGGTATGATCCTTTTGCTTCAATGTCCTGAACTCACGCTTCTTCAAAGAAACAACTCCTACAGGTATGTGTGTCTTCTTGAATGCTTCCGTGAACTCCACCCAAGTGATTGGTTGTCCTTCTGCTCTGTTCATCCGAAAATGATCCCACCATTCTGATGCAGGTCCTTGCAACTGATGTGAAGCGAAAACAACTTTCTCCTGATCCGTGCACTGGAGCAGTTCCAACTTCTTCTCAATAGTGTGCAACCAATCACCTGCTTCCACTGGGTTAGTAGTGCTAGAAAAGGTAGGTGGCCTCACACGAAGAAAATCAGCTAACTTGTTCTGCGGCGGTGGAGCATTGTTGTTCCCTTGGTTGAGCTGGTTCTGCATCTGCTGTATCATCATGTTCATTAACTGAGTCTGTTGAGCCAGAACTTGAGCAAGAATTGGGTTCCCTTCATTGTTATTGTTTCCACTTCCACTGGCGCGAGTGTTCACCATCTGTTGCATATTAGAGAAGATAGAAGGAGAGGGGTTACACTAAAGACAAGACCTTAACCAGGTTAACACTGATCTGATGTGTGTAGACCATTATATTGTTCAAGTTGATTAAGCAAGCAACCTAGTATAGTTACACACTCATCAATGAACTACTCCAATGATGGGAATGCAACCATACCTACACACAAAGCAAACAACAAGCGTTCTACCCTACTAACTATTCTTCAAGGACACTTTGGCGGCATAGGTTCTAAGGTAGGATCCAAACTTCATTCCATCTTGACCACTTGGCACTTCGGTCCTTCCTCGATCCACTTGACTGACCTCCATAAGTTGACCACATAAATGTCTTCAAGTTTCAATGTCTTAGAACTACTCAAGTTGAAAGAGAGAGGGGAGTAGACAATGAAACAATTTGCAAAGAATTCTAGATAAGGAAGAAAGGAGAAATTTTCACAAATCATGTTTTCGGAAAATTAGTCCTTAAGGTTTGACCATTTGGCTTATCCTACAGTCGAGATGGCTCTGATACCAACTTGTCACGCCCGGAAATTCACTAGTGAATTTCCGGGCGTGACAGGGAGAGAGCGAGAGCACAGGCTGAACAGCCATAAAAGTGCGACGCCCCAACTGTCCCTCACCGCATTTAATGCGGTAAGGGCAGACGTGCGGCGCGCCTAGCTAACCTCTGTCCAACGGATGTGACCGGCCTGACACCGTCACATCCGATGGATAGGGCAACCATGTCCTCACGTCGCCCTTGTACCCGGCGGAGTGGGGGTGGGTATGACCCGTCACGTCCAAGCGTCACTCGAGGAAGGGCTGTCACAGGTCATCGTTCATTTATGAGGGAATGACAGGGCTGTCCCCCGTGTCAGGCGGGGGCGGCGCCTGGTTCCACTCGAGAACCGGTTGTTGCTTAGCTTCCGGGAGAAGGCACGGTTTAAAGCCCAGGAAAAGTGGAGTGGGATCCCCCTCCGATAGAGGGTAGGTAGAGGCGGCGCATATGGTATCCCCTTGAGCTATAAAAGGAGGACCCTGCCCACTGAGACAGAGGAGGACGCCTAGAAAACCTGAACTCCAGAAGAGAGGAAGCGAGTGCGCTTTCTAGAGTGAAGAAATCTTTGTAAAACTCATCCATAATCCCAAACACAGGAGTAGGGTGTTACGCTCCATAGCGGCCCGAACCTGTATAATCCGACTGCGTGCAAGCTTGCCGGTAATCCTAGGGACGAGCGAGTGATTTTCAAGAGATGAGCCTCCGCCCCCGGCCGAAATCACAAATGGGGGGTCTCACAATTCCCCGCTATTGAGGATCTCTCCTCAACAATATGATTTATAGCACTTATATAAATGTATTATTGAACATGTTGATGGGGTATCGCTTTTTTCAAGCACATCGTGGATGCACCTACTCTACTGCTACTGAAATTGATGCAGGCCATGACCAAGTCAATATAACCTTCCTATTTCATCCAAAAGTAAAGGACTAAATTTCAAAAACTATAATATATTAAACGAATTATCACAAAATTATAGATTTATCATGTTATACACTTACAAATTTAACTATTTTTTTATAACAAAACTATAGATTTATAATAAAGTATTACAAAACTACATATTTAAAATTGAAGTTATCGCTCTCAAAATAAATTTGGAGTTATCATAGAACTATAAATTCTAAAGCTTAAATTCCCTAGAATTACCATTACGTTGGAGTTATAAACGTGGTAATTTTATGATTAAATTGACACTAACAAACTTATAGTTATGAGATTTTGCTACTTGATATTTATTTATCTTACACCTTATTTTAAATCTACAGTTTAATAAGAAATTCACCTTAAATCTGTATAGTTACATGATATGCCACCTTAAAGAAATAGCTTGATCGAAGTATATTAAATTTTATAAAATTAATTTGAGAAAATAGTTCAGCCGCTATGATCACACTCTTCCGGTCGCCGTTTTCCTGGGGGCCAGTTCCCACGCGCCACGTGCGTTAGCGTCCACGTCACACGCTTGCACAGCCACACTTCGCCACCGTTTCTTTTTTTTCAAACGTGACCCTCTCTCTCTCTCTCGGTTTATCCACTTTCACACGAGAGTTCGGATGTGTTTAGTTCACAGCAAAATTAAAAGTTTGGTTGAAATTGAAATGATACGATAAAAAAATTAAAAGTTTATATGTGTAGAAAAGTGAGTAGAAAGTTTAAAGAAAAAAGTTGAAACTAAACAATACCTTCTTCATTGTCAACACGACAGGGGGCACCACACGTACGATAAATACGAGCTCACACCTCGCACGCGAAGTGTGCAAACACACGCTGATCGATCAGCTCGCCGGTGAGGAGAGGAGAGAAGAAAGCGAAGGAGCTAGAGAGCATGGAGGGCGCGGCGGCGGCGGCGGCGGTCATTAGGCACCGGACGGTGGAGGCGAACGGCATCTCGATCCACGTCGCGGAGGCCGGCGGCGAGGGCGGCGATGGCGCGGCGGTGCTGTTCCTGCACGGATTCCCGGAGCTCTGGTACTCGTGGCGGCACCAGATGGAGCACCTCGCCGGCCGGGGATTCCGCTGCCTCGCCCCCGACCTCCGCGGGTACGGCGACACCGACGCGCCGCCCGAGATCGAGTCCTACTCCGCCTTCCACGTCGTCGGCGACCTCGTCGCGCTCCTCGACGCCCTCGGCCTCGCCAAGGTACGTACGAGCTTAGCAGATGCAAACCACGCTTTGATTTACTGTTAATTGATTAATCACATGCGCTTAAATTGTTTGATTCCGCTATTAATTAAAATATGCGAATATGTGATCATTATCTAAATAAAATAAAATACGTGATCCCTAGAAGCGTCGAACATGGATAGCGAATGAAAAGGCTGCCATTTTTAAAATTGCTTTTGGTTGATTTGGCTTTGTGATGTGAGCGCAAAGAAGTTGACTGTTTTGTTCGATAGTGCTTCGATACGGTTCAAAGTTCAAACTGAAGGCGGCATCAACAATGGGTAGACGGAATGAAAAAAAAATATGGGCATATCCCAACCCAACGTGACGCCGTGGCTTGCCTGTCAATTTGATTGGCATCATCCAACGACTCCACGACTAATCTGTCAATGCTATGTACTTAAGCAGATCAGTACTGAAAATCTTGGAACTTATTAATCAAATCAAGCAGAACTAGAGTACTACTAATAATTAAATGCCAATTCGTCACTACTAGTGAATTTTTTTTTATTTACAAGATTTTCTACTAGCTGTTGCAAATAAAACTTAGAGGCTGATCTGATCTGATCTGGTTTTGGATTGAAGCAGGTGTTCGTGGTGGGGCACGACTGGGGCGCGATAATCGCGTGGTACATGTGCCTGTTCCGGCCGGATCGCGTGACGGCGCTCGTCAACACCAGCGTCGCCTTCATGCGCCACGTCTTCATCCGCTCCGGCGCCGACGCCATCAAGACCACCGATCACTTCCACAAGGCCTACGGCCCCACCTACTACATCTGCCGCTTCCAGGTTCAATACACAGAACCTCATCCTCTGCCATTTCCTCTACGTACTTATCGTTTCCTCCGTTTCATATTATATACTTATAAGCTATTCGACTGTTTATTTTTTTAATTAAAGTTCGTTAGATTTAATCAAATTTATAGAAAAAACGGTAATATTTATAACACCAAATTAATTTTATTAAATTTAATATAGTTTGATAATATGTTTGTTTTGTATTAAAAATATTGCTATATTTTTTTATATTTTAATTAAATTTTAAGAAGTTTGACTAAGAAAAAAATTAAACGACTTATAATAAGTAACGAATGATATGCATATATATTTCTTCTACTTTGAAGCTACTACAACATGCAGCATGGGAGAAAATTAGGTAGAACTCGTGAGCAGATAGACGCAAACGAACCTTTTTTATATATGCTACTAGTAGTAGAATAATACTATCGTAAATATTGTTCAAAGTCCCAAACGGATCAGAACCAGCGGTCCAGCCGGAGTAGCGAAATTTTCTCCTGCACGGACTCGATAGCCTGACCGGTACAGTGCGTGGTCGCAGTACAAGAAAAAAAAAATGCATACTGCTACTACTGTTGGTGTCTCCGATGGAACAGTAGATGAAATACTACGTGTTGGCTTATTCCGTTATTCGTCTACGACTGGTAGTAGCACGATCGGTCACTGCATGGAGCAGCATCCGTCGTCGTAGGTGTCGTCGCCGACGAAGCGCGCCGGCATGCCTCCTTGAACGTACTGGTGGTACGGGTTCTGGCAGGGGTAGTTGCCGCCGTACAGGTAGCTCCCCGGCGGCGGCGGCGGAGGCGGCGCGGGCAATGGGTAGTAGGGCGGCGACGGCGCCAGGTGCATCATCCCGACAAAGGGGACGTCGTCGGGCGGCGGCGGCGGCGTGCCGTCGCTGACGATGGTGACTGACTTGCCGGTCTTCCGCCTGAGTCGCTCTCTGAGCTTCGTCGCGTCGACCTTTCGGCCGGCGATCACCACCCGCCGCCCATACATGTCCACCCAAACCCTCTTTACCCCTGCACCCCCACGCACGCACGCACGCACGCAGCCCAAAATGTCAAATCGATCGCCATGACAAAAATGCACTGGCACTGCACACATCATCTAGCTTCTTACCGAACATTTTCTCGACGGCCTTGCGGATGTCGATCGCGCAGCCCTCGCAGTGGTTGTTCAGGATGATCTCCGCCATTGACGCAACAGAAAGCTCTATCTGCTTCTGATCGATTGATCAACTGAGCACTACGTGCGTGCCATTTTATAGAGGTGCAGGGAGGGAGCAAATCAAGCCGAAATAGGGAATTGAGAGATTAAGCCCTAATTACTTGCCCTGAGGTTACTTGGCCATTCCGTTTCTCATCGAAAGATATCGATTCTCTAGGTAATCTTTTACTACTACATTCTTGTACGTGATCACCTCTGGTCGGTTCAGCCACTGCCATACATGAGACCACTTACCTTTCATCCTCTCTGGGCCGGCGGCCCATTTATGAGGCCCAATTGCACAGGATAATCTGGCCCAATACCGGCCGCTAATTGTTGCTGTTTGCAGGAGCCTGGCGTTGCGGAGGAGGAGTTCGCGCCGGCGCACGCGAGGCACATCATAAGGCGGACACTGTGCAACCGCTTCACCGTCCACAAGGCCGGCAAGCCGGAGAGCGAGGAGTCGCCGCCGCCGCCGCCGCTGCCGCTGCCGGCCTGGCTAACGGAGGAGGACATCGACTACTTCGCCGCCGCGTTCGAGAGGACGGGCTTCACCGGCGGCATCAACTACTACCGCAACATGGACAGGAACTGGGAGATGGCGGCGCCATGGGCGGACGCCAAGGTGCAGGTGCCGACCAAGTTCATCGTCGGGGACGGCGACCTGACGTACCACTACGCCGGCATCCAGGACTACCTGCACAAGGGCGGGCTCAAGGCCGAGGTGCCGCTGCTCGAGGACGTCGTCGTCATCCCCGGCGCCGGCCACTTCATCCAGCAGGAGAGGGCTGAGGAGGTCAGCGACCTTATCTACAACTTCATCACCAAGTTCATACCCCAACCCAACTGAAGCGCTCAACTCAACTCAACTGTCAGATGCAATTCATCGCCGTAAAAAAAAAACAAAAAAAAAAACTCTTCAAACAAGCGTGTGTGCCAATCAGTGTCAACGTATATGTGACCAAATGTTGTTGTAATTTGGACCGTATTCCTATGAAATTTCAATGTTTGGGAAGAAAATTTCATAAGACTTCAGTCTTTTACTCATCGGTAGGACTTTGTTTATTTGTTTGACACCTGTCCAGTCCAAATCTCAAAGCATGATTCCTCCTCTTCTCCAATTCCTCATTGTCTTTTCTTCATGAGTTCTCTTCCTCCTTCTGCAGGAGACCAACATCTTATCCGACCATGGGTCTATTGAAATTATAAGCACATAATAATTTAATTTATTCCATAAATAAATCATGACATTGCAGATATAAACTAGATTGAATGCATCATTAGATCTACACATGTAAACTAAGCAGTAAAACATGAACAGATCAAATATGCGCAACATGTCGAACATGTACCGAGGTGACGGAAAGACCGGTTGCTCGACAGGAACTACTCGCGGTTGCGAGCGTCGACAAAGGCGCGAAGCACGCGAGCGGAGAGGAAGGCGAGCCGTCGCGGACTAACAGGGAGCAGTCGCGCGAAGCGCTTCCCAAAAACCTTATTGCCGCCTTCTCCCGGTGTAGGACGTCGAAGGCAGAGGTTCCGGAGACCTGCTCTCCCGATCGCCGGTGCACGCCGGCGAGCGGGATGGAGTAATCTACAAGCGACGGCGCAGTACAGAGTAGGAGGCAAACCCTAGATTGATTTCGCATGTGTTGCGTGAAGGCGGCGGCTCGGTTTATATAGAGATAGATCGCCTGATCAGGGCGCCCGCGTAAACCGAACCGGATAAGTCGCGCGTAACCTATCCGGACTCCATGCCGTTTTCACGCACCGGATTTTTCGGAATGTTTCCAAAACAAAACAAATCCGGATAAGTCCGAAATGTTTCCAAAACAAAACAAATCCGGATAAGTCGCGCGTAACCTATCCGGACTCCATGCCGTTTTCACAAGGAGGCTACATCTGCACAAGGGTGAGGAGCCAATTTTTCGAACCGTCCGGAATGTTTCCAAAACAAAACAAATTCGGATAAGTCGCGCGTAACCTATCCGCAAGGGTGAGGAGCCAATTTTTCGAACCATTCGACGCGTAGTAACGTCGTGCACGCGCGCCGCTTGCCCTGCCAGGCGAGCGAGCGCGCGCGTGTTTCCCCTCTTCTCTCTACCACACATGCTTCAAGTGGCTAGGAGGGCATCCTCGCTTTTAAGGAGGTCCCCCTCTCCTAGAATAAGCAAGGTGGTACTAAACTCCACATGCATGCCATCTCATGAGGTGGGCTTTTATGATTTTCCAAAGAATTAATCTTTGAATGTGCCTTAGCCCATCTATTAATTCCAACAGGGTCCATGGCAAGGACCTAACTCCTGAAGGCATGCCTACCCATTGTCTGCCAGAGAAAAGCCATCACGAGATCATAGAAGCACATCACCAAGACCATGGTGAAGTCTTATAGGCATGCCTAGTCCATTGTCTTTTAGCTGTTGAACTTCTTTTCAATTGACAACGTAAGTGCTGGCGAGAACTAAGTGATAATCCCCACTACCTGCAAAGTTAGTCTAACAAAGAGTCGGCTGGTCAACACGTGCAAACCACTTAGCTGCCGCTAGCACCGCTGGCCGCCACGACGAGAGGCGCGGAGGGCCACAGCCCACAAGGACGCAAGGAAGGGCCGAAGCGAGGGGGCACCGCCAAGGATACTGGCGTGCGGCGGCGGCAGGAGAACGCGTTTACTCGTCAAGTCAAGTCTCTGGGGAAATCAGGGATGAAGACATGTTGCTTTGAGATTCGTATTATACAGCTGTCACGCAAAGAAGCAAAGTCCTACTGATAAGTAAAAGACTGAATTCCTGTGTAATTTTCTTCCCAATGTTTGGATGATGCATTGATTTGGTATAATTGACCATGCTTTGCGATGCAAATGCTCTATCCGTCCTGGGCCACTTTGCATTTGGAAACTAAAGGAACTAGGCCCAGTATCACATCGGCCCATCCAGGAAACTGGACCCACATGTCAGTCAACTATCTCCAACTACCTCGGGTAATCAGCAGGTTCACAGCCAGTAGCAGAGCACCGCACGTCGTCGCCGCGTCGCGCGACGGAGTGGAGAGGAGACCATGGCGGCGGCGGCGGCGGTAAGGCACCGGACGGTGGAGGCGAACGGGATCTCGATGCACGTCGCGGAGGCGGGGCCGGGCAGCGGCACTGCTCCCGCGGTGCTGTTCGTGCACGGGTTCCCGGAGCTGTGGTACTCGTGGCGCCACCAGATGGGGCACCTGGCCGCGCGCGGATACCGCTGCGTCGCGCCCGACCTCCGCGGCTACGGCGGCACCACCGCGCCGCCGGAGCACACCTCCTACACCATCTTCCACCTCGTCGGGGACCTCGTCGCCCTCCTCGACGCCCTCGAGCTCCCCCAGGTAAAAAAAAAGCACGCGCCCCCTCTCCCCTTTCCGCCCCCAAATCGCTGAGATGACGCGTCGCGCGTTGTTGCGGTGAAGGTGTTCGTGGTGGGGCATGACTGGGGCGCCATCGTGTCGTGGAACCTGTGCCTGCTGCGGCCTGACCGGGTGCGCGCGCTTGTCAACCTCAGCGTCGCGTTCATGCCGAGGCGCCCCGCCGAGAAGCCCCTCGACTACTTCCGCGGCGCGTATGGCGATGATTACTATGTCTGCCGATTCCAGGTGCGCAATTTGTTCCCGTAGGCCACAGAAATGGCCAATCGACTGCTATCTGTTTAATAATCGAAGAATTAAAGCTAAATCCCCGTCCCAAATGTCTATCATCCACTAATTATCAACTAATTTGAGAATGATTGTGCTTATTTTGTTTATTAGTGAATAGTTCACTTCATTGCAATGGATAAGTGAGTTGTGTCTATGAATACTTATTTTCAAAAAGAAGTCTTTTAGTATCTTACCAGTGGTATGGTGCTCACATCTGCTCTTCATCTTAACACACTAGTCATATAGATGAACACATAACATAGACATACTCAGGAAATTTCATTTTTGTGCATGTGCTAGGCTGGGGTGTTAAATTTTCCTGTCAATTGATCTTTGGGGAATGTAATATAGTCGTGCCGCAAGCCCTTTTTCCTCTTTGTGAGCAGCTCCAATTGTAGTTTGCGTACACATTGAAATGAAATATCAATCATACATAGTTTGCTAAATGGATTGGCATGGGCTAATGAGTAAATACTAAATAATGCTTAGAAAAACAACAACAATTTTGCACAACTATGTGGAATAATTTCATTTCTGAACAAGTTTTGTCCTCATGAAGTCAGTGCTTCACAACTGTTTCTGAACCATGTTCGGACTCTCAGTCATGTAATTTTTATAATTTGCCTTCACAAGTGTCATCTTGGCTGCCAGGAACCTGGAGTTGAAAAAGAATTGGCCAGTCTTGACTTGAAGAGATTCTTCAAATTGGCCTTGATTGTTCAAACAACAGGATCTTCTGCTATGTCCATTAAAAAAATGCGGGCAAACAACAGGGAAGTAACATTGCCTCCTTGGCTCTCTGAGGAAGATATCAGTTATGTAGCAAGTGTGTATGCAAAAACTGGCTTCGCTGGTGGTATTAATTACTACCGATGTTTTGACCTGTAAGTATGCCATTTTTAAGGTACCAAATCATTGTGTGCAGAATTCATACATGTCAAATCACTCGAATTATTTTTCTCCAGATACCTAAATTCTATCCAAAAGAAGACACACATACAACCTGTTTAACGTTGCAATACAGTTTTTGAACTCCCTGACAGGTTACTAGAGAGAGAAACATGAAGCACAATATCACATTTTTTCCTTTAGATTTACCTGTTGTCACTGATTGCTGTGTATCCTGTTTGTCTTACTGCATACGTTGCTTGGAATTAACTTTTTTTTTTAGATAATGGTGTTGCTTGGAATTAACTGTTGTCCAATTCAATACCTCTATACTACTATGAGATATCATAGCATCTGTTGTGTGTTTTTAACCAGGAGCTCACAACCTATATGAACTGCAGTTAACAGATCTCGGAGAGATGAAATTCTTGTTTGCATAACACTTTGTGAGGGTGGATATGTATGGGTGGGTGACTGGGTGTGCCGTGTGCTGTGCGTCTTTTTGGTTTCTCAGTCTTGTAGTTTGTCGGGACCTTTTCCTTTTCCTTCTTCTTAATATAATGATGATTCGCAATTCTCCTGCGTATTCAAGAAAAAAAACACTTATGGTAAATATAGAAATCTGTTCTGAACTACACAGATTATTTATTCAGTAATTTCCATATTGAATATTTTGTCACCAGTCATGATCACAAGCATGCACTCCCATGGACTTGAGAACTGCATCAACATACGCAGTTGTGGGTTGCATGATATGATCATATAATCCTATGTAGCAGGAACTCATAACCTCTGACCTGCATGCACAGGAATTGGGAGCTGATGGCACCATGGACAGGTGCAAAAGTTCTAGTGCCAACAAAGTTTATTGTCGGGGATGGTGACCTGGCTTACCATCTCCCAGGAGTCAAAAGCTACATACACAAGGGTAGGTTGAAGAAAGATGTTCCTATGCTTGAGGAAGTAGTGGTAATCAAAGGTGCTGGGCACTTCATCCAGCAGGAGAGAGCACAGGAAATCAGTGATCACATCTATAACTACATCAAGAAGTTCAATACGGGTGTTTCTTCTCCAAAATCATCGAGGTTGTGAGATAATTTACTGCTGTAAAGAATAATTTCAAGAGAATAAAGGATGTAATGCTTTAGGCTGATGGTGTGGTTCTTTTGTCATGCTGTGTTTGGCTAATGCTGCAGAGCTTTTGTAATGCCAAGTTTGGCTATCTTGGCAAACAATGAAATTTCAAGGGTCTGAATGAATTTAAAAGAGCTTCTAGGATGCCTATAAACTAATTCCTATGCTCCCTCCGTTTTATACTACCACTTTTGATTTTCTTTTTCTTTTTTTAAGTCAATTTTTTTAGGTTTAATCAAATTTATATAAAAATATAGTAAAATTTTCAACACCAAACAAATGTACTATCAACATATACATTCAATGTTAGGTTTGATGAAACTAATTTGGTGTTACAAGAGTTGCTACAAAACTTTGTCAAAATTATAAAAGTTTGACACAGGAAGGCAGGTGTCTGTCTTGTGGGCCATGATATGCCGGTTTTTGTCTTATGGGCCGTATATTTTGTCACTTGACCATGCGCTGGAGTCCATTTCTTCCCCGTCACCACCACCTCCACCTCCTCGATCGACGCATCCCTCCGCCGCTCGCAGCTCTCCTCCGGCGGCCATGGCGGCGGCGGCGCAGAGGCTCCTGGCGGCCAGCACGAAGATCGTAGGGGTGGGCCGCAACTTCGTCGCCCACGCCAAGGAGCTCGGGAACCCCGTCCCCAAGGTACAGTACTCTCCAATCCCGAACCACCACTGGCGGCGGTGGGTTCTCCGGTCGCCTTCTTCCCGCGGGGTGCCCTGATCCGGCGTCGGTGGTGCCCGTGCCGCGTCTGGTTGCAGGAGCCGGTGCTGTTCCTGAAGCCCACCTCGTCGTTCCTCCACGCGGGCGTGGCCGGCGCCGCCATCGAGGTGCCGGAGCCGGTCGAGTCGCTGCACCACGAGGTCGAGCTTGCCGTTGTCATCTCCCAGCGCGCGCGCGACGTCCCCGAAGCATCCGCCATGGACTTCGTAGGAGGTAATTGATAATCTAGGATGTGCTGTGATAAAATGGATCTAATCTAAACTGGTGGCATCCTTTCAGCTGATTAGTTGTGTGATGAGTTGTATACTTCTATATCCCTGATCATGGAAGAAAATCACAAGTTTGGTAAATAAATCAAAATATGATTTCCACCGAAAAATCCGAATAGGAGATGCCGATATGCTTTGTTCTGTGAAAACTACGTACTAGAACCTTGGAATTGCCATTCAGAACTATTTGAGCAGGCCTTAGAGACTTAGACTGAAAGTGGACAACTATAGGACATATAAATTTCACTCTTTCAGCAATTCCGGTAAACTTTGTCCATATACATTTGACAGGCTTGGTAGAAAAATTCAGACATGGAATTTTAAGCTCTTAGCCATCTGCTTGTTCAATGCCTGTTTTGCCATGACCAGGCTCATGAAAGTCTCATTAGTGAGGAGTATTCGTTAACATAGTCACATTTTCTTTTATCGTTGGTTGCTTCATGTTCTCTAAATAATCATGGTAGTGAAATTGATCTTATTGTTTGGTTCAATACCAAATTATGCTACAGTAAGTAGCAGATTGTTCACTATTACTCTTTCTTTTATGCTAGTATTTGTTAATGTGGGTTCTACGAGTCAACAAAAAGCTATACTGGTTTTCAGTTTTCCCCTTTCAGTGACAAAGTACAATTATAACTAATGGTATATCTTTGGATTTCCCAGGTTATGCACTTGCTTTGGACATGACAGCAAGAGAACTTCAGTCTGCGGCTAAGGTGTGCACTAGCTGCCCTAGTTTTCTTTGGTCTTGTCACCTTATTGCCATCTATCATCCTTGGTAGTTTCAGAGGATAGATAAGAGCATAACATTCAAATTGATAAAAGAAATTCAGCAACAAGCTGCACACTATAATCTCAGTAGCTGCTTCTTTATTATGTTCATGCAATCATATCAACTAATAATTGTATAAGCTACTAGAACAAGAACTATTTGTTTCTTTTGAATTTGGTTACCACTATCTTGTTTGATCATATACACACAATGTTTTTTATAACTATTTTTGTGCAAAATCATGGTAACTAATTGGCAGTTGTATCCTTGGTACTTGTATGAATCAATCACATAGTTTCTTAATGTAAGATAACTTTTCAGTCTTGTACTATGTTTTATACTTAGAAACCAATGTACTCTGTAGTCTGCAGGTCTTCCTTGGACTTTGGGTAAAGCACAGGACACCTTCACTCCAATTAGTGCAGTGGTAAGCAATGTGTTCTCTTGCTTAAAGAAACTGGTTCAGGTGGTGACTCGACACGTTATTTTTCATTTCCATGTATTTGCTTGTAATAAATAGTTCCAAGTACCATATTCAAAGTAGTGGATAACTGAAGAGACGGAATATACACCAGTAATCTTTATGATTATTAATGGATAGAAATAAATCATAGAATGCTGGAAAAGGTGAGTCAATATCATATGAAAAGAACCACAGGATACTAGTTACAGATTGGCATCTCCTTTTGTTGGTCGTGGATCGTATTCTCTGAATGCTGCCGATGTCATTCTACTGAATATGAACTACATAATTCCATTGCTGCATCCAATGCATTTGACTTTCCTTGATGATTCTTGCTCTATTGAACAGATTCCAAAATCAGATGTAGCTAATCCTGATGATCTAGAGCTCTGGCTAAAGGTAACTATACAAATATGTAGGCATGTAGTGAATCTATTCATTTGCCCCCTAAGAAGTAGAAAGTACAACAAATTATTAACAAGCATAGAGAAATCTTGTCCAGGTTGATGATGAACTTAGGCAGAAGGGATCTACAAGTGATATGATATTCAAGATACCATCTCTAATAAGTTATATCAGTTCCATCATGACATTAATGGAGGGTGATGTTATACTGACCGGTAAATCACATTTTTGGAGAACAGTTTGTTGTGCATTAGAGTTGTGATTGTGGGGGTTATTAATGAATTCCTCTGCAGGTACTCCTGAGGGTGTAGGCCCAGTACGACCAGGACAGAAGATCAAAGCTGGTATAACCGGCCTCATTGATGTTGAGTTTGATGTTCAGAAGCGCAAGCGGTCATTTTCTACTTGATGTGATAGGCAAGAGATTAATACTATGCAATCTGTTGTGTGGACATATCAGTATATTGTTATGCTCATCTTGATTTGCGCAATAAAACAAGATATTAAGGTTGCATGCATTTATTTATTGGCGCAACTAAAAAAAATATTTTGGTCCATTAATTTCATGAAACCGGAGTGTACTTGCACAATATTCTTGGCTTGCCCGTACTGAAACTAATGTACATTGTAAACATAGGCTTCCCATATGACATAGTGCATGAAAAAGTAGATATTCTTTTAGCATATGCCTGTCTAATATATGCTTATGGATCACTTGTGATGCTTTTCATGTAGAGCTTCGAGAGCATTTGTATCAAGAAAATCCTGGATCTGTTCTTGGGAAATCCAGACCGTACTTTACCCCCACATTGTTATCCCGGATCTGTTTATAGCAAACAGACCTTTCATGAACTATACCGGTGCTGTATTTTTGTCCATGTTGATGGAGCTCTAAGCTCTCTGCAATAATAGCAAATCTCTTGTCGCCAAGCACACTTGATTTGTCTACCTGTGGCAAAATACGCAGCGGTAGTAATACCCATGTAAATATTATGCTGCCGATTCCATCTAACAGCTAAACTGTTAATGTTGTGAATGTCTTGTTGAAATTATAAGCACATAATGATTTAATTTATTACATTTCAGATGCAAACTAGATTGAACGCATCATTAGATCTACACATGTAAACTAAGTAGTAAAACATGAACAGATCAAATATGCGCAACATGTCGAACACGTATCGAGGTGGCGGAAAGACCGGTTGCTCGGCAGGAACTACTCGTGGTTGCGGGCGTCGATGAAGACGTGCAGCACGTGAGCGGAGAGGAAGGCGAGCCGTCACGGACGAACAGGGAGCAGTCGCGCGAAGCGCTTCCCAAAAATCTTATTGCCGCCTTCTCCCGGTGCAAGACGTCGAAGGCAGAGGTTCCGGAGACCTGCTCTCCCGATCGCCGGTGCACGCCGGCGAGCGGGATGTAGTAGTCTACGAGCGACGGCGCAGTACAGAGGAGGCAAACCCTAGATTGATTTCGTGTGTGTTGCGTGAAGGCAGCGACTCGGTTTATATAGAGATAGGTCGCTTGATCAGGGCGCCCGCATGATCTTCACTCCGCGTAACCGAACCGGATAAGTCGCGCGTAACTTATTCGGACTCCACGCCGTTTTCACACACCGGATTTTTCGTAATGTTTCCAAAACAAAACAAATCCGAATTTCCCGCAGCAAACCGGATAAGTCGCGCATAACTTATTCGGACTCCATGCCGTTTTCACGCAACGGATTTTTCAGAATGTTTCCAAAACAAAACAAATCCGAATTTTCCGCAGCGGAATGTTTCCAAAACAAAACAAATCCGAATTTCCCGCAGCAAACCGGATAAGTCGCGCAACTCCATGCCGTTTTCACGCACCAGATTTTTTGGAATGTTTCCAAAACAAAACAAATCCGAATTTCCCGCAGCAAAACAACCCTGCCCTGCGAGACAGGGCGAGCGCGTGTATTTCCCCCCTCTTCTCTCCACCACACATGCTTCAAGTGGCTAGGAGGGCATCCTCCCTTTTAAGGAGGTTCCCTCTCCTATAATAAGCAAAGTGGTATTAAACTCACATACATACCATCTTATGAGATGGGCTTTTGTGATTTTCTAAAGAATTAATCTTTGAATTGGCCTTAGCCCATCTATTAATTCCAACATGTCTGAATGTCTCGTGAATTTGATTCTATCGATCGATTTCTTCACCATGTGTGGCCATACATGCATGATAAGGACAAGAGAGCCATGGGCGGCTGAATTGAAGGAGACATTTTGCATCCATGTTGGGGCCGGAAAAAAGAGGTCAAAATAGGGGTCGGAGCTTTAATCTCCGAACCTGGCGGCGTCACGACTTGAGCTACTCTCCAGCTCCGGCTGCAGAAAATGAATGTTTGCCTCATGCAACGCATGGTATGTACGCTTCATCAGAAGAAAAATGGTAACATTTCAGAGAAGGGACCAAAGTTGTACTGCATGATCAATCAGTAGCAGACGCTGAATGGCCAGAGCATGCATGAACATGGTTTTGGCAAGATCGATAATAAACGCGTGTTAGAAGATTAGTAGTTCAATGGTGGTGCATGATAACTTGATTGAGCTTCATTAGCAGAGAAATTCAGAGAAGGAACCAGAGAAACAAAGGCATTCATGTGGTGGAGAGAAAAAGAGGTCAAAGGGGTTCGGAGGATGGAAACTCCGAACCCCCTTTGAACCTGATGATGTCACGACCCCGGCCACGCTGTCCAAATTTGGGCCTAGCCGCATCACGACGTTTCAGTGATGGGCCTCACCCGTCACGGAATTGGGTCCCAGGCCTAGCCCATCAGAAAAAGCATAAATTCGATGGGCTAATTACCATTTTGCAACAAACTAGTAAATCATACTCGTCTTACGCGTACAAATACCGCATTCCCGCCAAAAAAAAAAAAAAAACCATTTGGTTCGCCTGAGTCCGAGTCGGTCTCGAACTCTCGATCGATTGCATTGTCTGTACTGCGATTTGATCGCGCGTACGTGCGCCACGTCCACGATAAATACCCTCGATCGGCTACCATCTGCTAGCTCTAGCTCTCCTCGATCAATTCAGATTCTCCCCTGATCGAGGTGAAGCTAGGGCAACGCGAGAGCTAGCGCCGCCGACATGGCCGACGACGACGAGATCGCTCTTGAGCCAGGCTACGTCTTCCACCCTTCCGACGACGGCCTCATCACCCTCTTCCTCCGCCCCAGCATCGCCAAGATCCCCTTCGAGGACCGCCTCATCAACCACGCCGACGTCTACTCCGCCAATCCGGCCGAGCTCGTCGGCGAGCACAGACCGGCGCCGGGCACCCATGGGAGCAGCAGCGTCTGGTACTTCTTCTGCTCCCCGCGCTTCACCAGCAAGCGCAAGACCTCCGGGAGGCGGCAGCGCGCGGTCGGCGGCGGCGGCGGCGGCGAGAGCGTGTGGAAGTCGGAGGGCGGCAAGAAGGCCGTGATCGGCGCCGATGGCCGCCGCGTCGGGTACCTCCAGAAGTTCTCCTATGGCGTCTACGAGTCGTCGTCGTCGGGGTCGGCGCGCACGTTCACGAGGCTAGGGTGGTGCATGACGGAGTACGGCCTCGACGACGACGCCATCGACGGAGCAGACAAGCAGGTGCTCTGCAAGGTCTACCGCTCGCCGCGCGCGGTCTGCGCGGAGGCGCGCACGGCGGCGGCGGCGAAGTCGGCCGATTCGCCATGCTCCGGCTCGAAGAGGAAGGCGGACGACGGCGCGGATCACCCGGAGGCGCCGCCCAGCGCGCGGCCGCGGCAAGAGGAGGCCGGGAGCGAGCAGCCGGCGATCCTGCCGGAGTTGGACCTGGATGCGTTGCTGTCGGCGCCGATGGACGACAGTTTGGGAGTGGAATTCGACACGGCCACGACGGAGCAGTACATGAGGTATCTGATGAACGACGAGCCATTGCCGTGGGCTCCGACGATGGAGGTTGCCGGCGGCGGAGACGAATTCATCGAGACGACGAACGGACCTTGCATGGGCGAAGAGGAGATCATCCAGCGGCTGGCTTCCGGAGAAACCCTCGACGACATTCTTGGCTCGAACCCTAATTAAATGAAACAAGTTTTTGATTGAGGTGTAGTGAGCGGCTGTAGCACTAAGTAGTGCAGTGTTTTTCGTCAGAGAACAGGTTTAGTTAGACATGTACTATGTACTACGTATCAATCAATTAGTTAGGTGTTTGTTTGATCAACTGAGATGCATGAAGATATGCATTGCTCGATTGATCATCTCGATCGATCGATCTGTAATAACTAATGAGAAGAGTTGAATCGATTCTTTCTGTAAAGTCTGATGTAATGCCCTTTTGTGGGCTAATGAAATTCATCTTCATCGTAGATTCGGACTTCGGAGTGATACTTTTGTGGACTAATGAAATTCATCTTCATCGTGGATTCGGATTTCGGAGTGATACTTTTTTTTTGTCGACTATTCATCAGAGTGATTCGTTCTGGCGTTTGGGCAATTTGGTTCGATGGTGCTGTGCCGATCACTCTACCATTGGTAGCGATCATGGTCTCGGCCCATCACGAACTCGAGTCACGAATAGTAGCTGAGAGCCTGAGATCCAGTAACCATTGGTGGGCCGGGACTTCTCATCGTTTCATTTTGTTGCCAAATCATTTACTTCAAATAGTTGATTTGCTTGACATCAAAATCATTTACTTCAAACTACCTCCGTAACAAAATATAATAATTTTGACTATAAATCTGAACAAGTACATATTCAAATCTATAGTTAAAAGTTCATATATATTCTAGGACAGAGCCATGGAGGTAGTACATAGTTTCAAATCATTTGATACGATAGAATGCAGCAATGTATTTACAACGATTCAGAGAACAATCCAACATGCATTGCGCGATCAGAAAAGCGAACACGGCAGTTAACTAAAAATCAAGGCTCCATCGCAGACGAAAATGGATTTCCGTTCCTGTACTTTTTTTTTAGAACTCATAAACTTTATTCCATATCAGAAACAGAGTACATGATTCATCATATATTTTCCTGCACTGAAATGATCTATTAGACTTCTAGCATAACAGCATCTGCTAGGACCGTTCCTGTACTTATGCCATCCATAGCATTCTACCGATCAAAATGTAAAACTTATAGCTGCATAATGTAAAAGACTTGGTTGTCAATTTTCAGGGTGTTCCATGATGCAAGCTCATGTATTTGAACTGGTGATAGACGGACGACCCTTGCTGTACTTTGCAGCGCTTCAAGCAAACTTCATCATTTTTCTGCAAATTAAACAAGGATTTCTATCAGCAAACGACCTGACATTTCAACTAAAAAAAGTCTGAAATATTATAATTGTTAAAATTACAAAAAATTAGCTAGGTTCTTTTGTGCCTGTTGACAAAGAGTTGTTCTGTAATGGGTATCTGCTATCAAATGTTTTTTTCCCTTTACACAATCAATGAGGTTTCTTCTGATCACACCTTTTGCTAAGTGCCACTTCTCATATACTCTGGATCTATTCAGTAGATTCAGATTGCACTCTGCTTATCAACAGTTTTTTTTTTAAAAAAAAATGTTACAGGTAGACCTCTTTTTTTTTTGCCTTTTACTTACTCAGAATTATGCTTGCAGCTCATGTTAGTGACTGCGAATATGATGCAGGGGGTGGGGGCTGGTGAACTTCGATGGCACCTTCAATCATAAGAGCAACACTCTTCATCGCTGGTCGCATCACAGGTTCACTCTGTGTGCACCAAATGCCGACGTTCACCATTCTCACCAGCTCAGCTTCGTCGACACCATCTGCCACCTTGCCAGCATCACCAAACATCACACACTCATATGCCCACTCGGAAATGTTGTACTCCTCCCCAGCCCGCTTCAGATCCATGCTTTTCTTACAGCTTATGACCTCCAGAAGCATGATCCCGTAGCTGTACACGTCTGCCTTCACGGTGATTGCTCTGTTCTTGCTCCACTCCGGTGCTAGATAGCCCCGGGTTCCTCGGATGCCGGTGAATGTCTTTGTTTGGTTCCCAATCAGTAGCTTTGCTAGCCCAAAGTCAGCAATCTTAGCTATCCCCAAACTGTCAATGAGTATGTTCTCTGGCTTGATATCGCAGTGGATTATTGGGCCCTCTATCTCTGAATGCAGGTATTGCAACCCTCTGGCAACATCTAGTGCAATTGCAACCCTCTTGCTCCAGGCAGGGGAGGCATCTGAGTGAAAGAGGAGGTTTGCCAGGGATCCATTTGGCATGTACTCATACACAAGCAGGTGATGAATGCCCTCATTGCAGAAACCAAGCAATCGCAGCAGGTTCCGGTGGTGTGTTCTTGCAATCACACGCACTTCCCTGTTAAATTCACGCTGCCCATCCTCAGCCATCTTTTCGAGCCTCTTCACAGCGATGTCCTGGTTGGTGTCGGCCACGACACCTTTGAATACTGTCCCGTATGCCCCCTTGCCAAGCTCTTCGCCGAAACCATTTGTTGCCAAATCTAGTTCCTGGAAAGAATAGGATCTGAGGCCAACAATGTTCCCATCAATCCTGGAGTCCTCTTGCCGTGGTGCCGTCATCGTCATGTGCGCCAATGATCGCCGATGCCTGCAGATAAGTAATAGAGATGCCACTAATAGCACAAACAGAGAAAAGATGGCCAAGGAAACCCCTGATATCAATGCAGAATTTGCATGGATACTCATAGCCCTTTGGCGAGTACCGGATATGGTCTGGTAAGTGTAGATCTTCACAAAGAGTGTGGTGTTACCAGGCATCCTGCCATATCTAATGGGAAGCATCTGTTTTGAGCAGTAGGAATCACTAAACATGGCGATATCGCAAGCACAATCGGAGAGGCAAAGTAGTTTGCAGGCTTCAATACTAGTTGTGGCTGGTAGAACAGCATACGGGTTCTCTAACCAAGTAGTGTTCTTCACTTCGACCATCGTGGTTGTCACTCTCGTCTCATCGTTAGAGCTGTTCCTCACGCAGCCACCGGTTGGCAATGCTCTCCAACAACCAAGTGTGCTCTGGTTAGTGCTCAAGAATTCAAAACCAGGAAGGCAAGAGCAGCTTGTCTCTCCAGTCACGGTGAGATGGCAGAAGCTATTCGGACCACAAACACCTTTCACAAGGCAGCGATCACTGCCAGGCTCAAGCCACTCAACCTCTGTTGTAGGTGCCCTGCCAAGCTTAAAGAAAACATGTGAGTAGAGTCGTAGGATGCCGTCGGGATCAAATGTCAGACGATAGTAAATTTCCATATCAGGGGAGGCATTGGAAGGCTGGTTGGCATGGAACAGTATCTTTGTATAGGAGTTTTTCCTGTCGAACATCCATATGGTACCATTAGGATCTAAGGAAAGCGTGAGGAGGAGGCCCATGTTGAAAGTCCAGGTAGACCAGTACGCACTACCAGAGTCAATGGTGCCTGTTGGGTACATCACAAGATTGCCATCTTGTTGGTTCTCAAGCCTATACTTGCCACTGGCATGATTACTCTGAGAGACACCTGAAAGAAGAAATCTGCCTGGACGCAAGTTCTGACCTGCCAACAATGTGTCTGTCGGAAAACTGAAAGTAGACCATATGACCTGTCTGTTCATATCATACAGTACAAAGTTGCCGGTGTTCAACATGGCAGCAGAGGCAGCAGGTGTAGAACTGTCAGATATGGGGTTCAGTTGGCTACCTGGAGTTGATGGAGTTCGTGACCATTGGAGCGCACCACCATGCCCAAATATGATAGAACCACCAGCAATTGGGGGCTCATCACGGTTGGCAGTCCACACAATTGTCCTTGACACACCAATCACAAGCCACACCCCAATAGAAAAGCCTTCGCCGTTGGGATAGAAGCCGAACGCAAAGCGGCCTGAAGAGGAGGACCAGTACTGGGTGCTGCTTGTGTTGATAGAGGATCCCAAAGTAATGAATGACTCATTGGCTGAAGCTCCAGCGGCAAAATTGGGGTCTTCAGGAACCAAGAGCAGCAGGGATAGGAAGAGAATATGTGGGAACATTGTCCAGGTGGAAGAGTCTACTGCAGTTCCTTGAGATGAGATAGTAATTGTATGCTGAAGAAACCTACTGGCAATTCTAAGCAGGGAATGGCTTTTGTTAGACCCTGTGAAGTGTAAACTACTGAATACTACTCCCACCGTCCTTAAATATTTGACACCGTTAACTCCTTTAAACATGTTTGACCGTTCGTCTTATTAAAAAACTTTTGTGAATATTATTAAAAAACTTGAGTAGTAGTAGTATATTTAACAATGAATCAAATGATAGGAAAAGAATTAATAATTACTTAAATTTTTTGAATAAGACGAACGGTCCAACATGTTTAAAAAAGTCAACGGCGTCAAATATTTAGGGACAGAGGGAGTAGTATTTTGACAGTCAAGGAAACTGACAGAAAGAAATTGTGGATGGACTTATTAGTCAAGTCTTTAGTGGACTTGGGAGACTTGGACCTGAGTTTAGTCTAAAAAATTGATCATCATACAGAAAGAACGGGAATGCACAACACCAAGTGATCTACAGTAAGGAAAATGGTGAAAACAACAACCTGAGCAGAGATTAAGGGAAGTGATAACCACCTTTTCATAAATTGGTTCCAGTTAACCGAGATTGAACAAGTTGATACAGATACATCATACATGTTGTACAACTCAATGTTTTCTGTATAAAGTTAGTTATGATCTAGACTCAGCACTGATGAGGTAATTTTCAGTCAGTTTGTTAGCTTGATTCAATGAATCACACTATGAGTCTGCAGGAATGGGGATCGTTCCAATTACCAGATCCTGGTTAGTTTGCACATGAGAGTGAGTATGAATTGGAAAACAAAGCATAGGCGTAATGGATAAAACTGAAATTCTATACCTTAATTTACCTCCCTTTGCCCTCTAGATTGGCCATACTCCAGCTCCGCCCGCGCTCCCGCTGCACGTATCCGGACTACATCTACACATCATACCACTGAAGAATCAAACAGGGTAAGCAATCTCAACTAAACGAGGAGAGAGGAGGTAGGGGGTGGGGGGAGGAGCGGGATTGGTGAGGGCGAGGAGGGGTCGAGAAGTTCGCCGATGCTGGGCATAGAGGGAGTACTTGGGCGGGCGGTGGAAGTCCGGCGGTGGGCGGTGGCGCCGCCGGAGCCGCGGGTGAGGAAGTCCGGCGGTGGGCGGTGCCGGTAGCGTGGGAAATGGAGGCGGCAGCGCGTGCCGCTGGAACGATTACAAATTCGTGTGAGAATACGCTTGTGTGATGTACAATATTTTCGCCATTTATGTTAATTTACAGTATTTTATATATTTATTTGTAGCGATTTACAAGCCAAAAATAAGAAGAAATTACTCAGAAAATATCGAATCAAGTTAAAAATTCAAATTTTAACTTTTGCTTTGACGCTAACTGGTGGGGTACAAGTTTACAACACTTTTTTCTTACAAAATTACAGCTGCACTGCATTTTGTACTAATTAACCACTAACTTAGTTAGCCCATCACTTTCCCTAAGAGTACCTTCAACAGTCTCTCTAAATTAGATTCTCCAAACATCTATATGGCCAATTCTCCATCTAATTTGGCTAGTCAAACTAGATGATCACTCCAACAGACTCTCTATTAATCCTCTCCAAAATAACAACGAACCCACATGTCAGTCTCCACTCCTCTTCTTCCCCTCTCTCTCTCCTCCTTCCTTTTTTTCTTTTTCTCTTTCGTTCCTTCTCATCGTCGATGCTTGCAGAGGGGCGGCGCCGGCAAAGGACGACGGTGGCGGAGGGGCGGCCCCGGCGGCGGTCAACGGCAGCGTCGGCAAAGCAGGGGGCGGCGTCGTGGAGGGGCGGCGCGGACGGGCGGCGGTGTGAAGGGGCGGCGCGGAGGGGCACCGCCGGCGGAGGGGCGACGCGGAGAGGCGGTGCGGAGGGGCGGTGGGGCGGAGCCAGTGGAGGGCGTCGCCTAAGCGGACGGGCGGCGGCGCGAAGTAGCAAAGGTGCGGCGCCAACGTTCATCGGACGAGAGGGGGGGAAGAGGTGGGACCCACGATTTGGCTAGGCTATTTTGGCTGGCCAAATTTGGCCAACGAGAGGAGTAGTTTGGCCAGCCGGATGGCTATTGGAGCACGATTTTGCTTCAAAATTGCTAAAATTTAAATATGGAACCTGTTCGAGATGCTCTAAGAGCAGGTACAATAGCAAACTATAAGTCAGCTACAAACATATTTTAAAAATATAAAAGAGAAGAGATAAGAGCAGCGGACTACATATTTGTAGCCAGCTACAACACAGACTCTAAGATTCATGTGTGTATGACAGGTGAGACCAGACATTATTAATTATATAGTATATATTTATAGGTAACTATTGTATACATTGGCTATTATATAGGCGATTTGGAGCCATAGTTGGCTATACTATTAAACTTTCTCTAAATAAACCTGTGAACCCTAATTTAACAACTAATTAGCTAATAATTAACAACCAAATATGATCTAATCACCGACAGGAGGGACACACTAATGTTGCTATATACGTGCTATCATGCAGCAGAGAGGCAGTGCGACTATGGCTCCGCCGGCTGCCTCGACGTAGCGGCCGTCTCCTCCGGCGACTATGGCCGGCGGATTGGCACGCCGGATTCCTCCACGGTCGCCTCTCCTCCGGCTTGGCTCGACGACGATGTGCCAGTGTCACCTCTCGAGTCGTACTTCTGCACCACGAGCACGGAGGACGTCGTCGAGAACTCCGGCGTCGCCAGGTAGCTCCCGACGTGGCCGAGCTCCGGGCAGTCCGTCTTGTCCACCAGCGGCGTCGCCACCGCCGCCGACCGCCCGGCCACCACCAGGTTCTTGCCTCTACCCAGTGTCTTGATGGCGAACGCCACTTCTTGCCGGCCATGGGCCGACACCTCGTCGTACTTGAACGCTCCGTCGTTTCCGGCCTTGCGCACGTTGGAGATGTGCTTTTGTATGGCGTCGTCGTCTTCGGCGGCGTCGTCGGCGGCGGCCGTGAAACGGGCCACGGTGAGCGCGATGCCAGGGTGCTCGCCCATGCGTGAGGCGTACGCGAGCGCCTCGCGGTCGTCGGCGCCGCCGAAGAAGAGGAGGAGGACCGAGTAGGAGACGTCCGGCGCCGAGACCTGCGCCGCGCCACCGAGCGCGCGGTCGACGAGGACGGCGACGGAGCATGGCGCGTCGCGGAGCACCCGGACGTTCACCTGGTGGAACGCCCGGTCCACGGGCTCGAGCGTGCCGTCATGGCAGAGCATCTTGTGGAACGGGAGCAGGATGATGGCGGATCGCTTGTCCAGCGCCGACGCGACGATGTCGTCGTGGATGGTGTCGAGGTCGGAGATGGCCGTCATCGGCTTCACCGTCACGGCGGTGAGCCGCTGGAACGCCTCGAACGCCACCACCACCTCCCCGCCGCCGCCGCCGCCTTCGTGGCCGCGCCGGCTCGCGAACGGGAGCCCGTTGCGGCGCGCGCGCTGCACCATGGAGATGGCCGACGAGCGCTCCGACAGCTCGACGAGGTGCATGGCGTACATGGTGAGCTTGCTCCTCCTCGTGCCGCGCGACGCCTCCACGAGGTTGATCAGCGTCGGGATGCCGCGGCTGGCGTGGAAGCACGCGAGCACGCGCAGCTCGCTGTCGGCGTCGGCGCGCTCCACCGTGCGGTGCTTGTACGACGCCTGCCGCCGCGCCGGCTTGTACACGGCGGTGACGGCCGGCGTGGTCATGAAGGTGGTGACGAGCGCCATGAGCACGAGGATGGCGAAGGCCTCCTCGTTGAGCACCTTCCGGTCGCGTCCGATGTTGAGCACGATGAGCTCCACGAGCCCCTTGGTGTTCATCAGCATCCCCAGCGCGAGCGCCTCACGCAGCGGCACACGCATCAGCAGCGACGCCGCCACCGTGCCGCCGATCTTGCCGGCGCAGGCCGTCGTCATGACGAGCACGAGGAGCCCCCACGACTTGGCGCCGGAGATGGTGGTGACGTCCGTCTTCAGACCGCTCGACACGAAGTAGAGGGGAAGGAACAGCGACGACACCAGGTCCTCGACCTTCTCCGTCAGCGCGCCGGCGCAGGCGCCTTCCTTGGGGACGAGCACGCCGATGACGAACGCGCCGAACAGCGCGTGGATGCCGATGGCGTCCGTGGCGAAGCCGGCGGCGAGAACGATGACTAGAATGGCGCAGACGAACGATTCTTTCACCGGCTCGCCCTCCGGCGACCGCCGTGCCATGAAGACGAGCACGGGCCGCACGGCGACCGTGGCGAAGCCGACGAACGCGACGCCGCAGAGCAGGACGTAGATGGACACGAGCGGCGACCCGGATCCCGAGAGCGCGATGGCGAGGGCAAGCAGCACCCACGCGGTGATGTCGTTGACAGCCGCGGCCGACATGGCCATGCGTCCGATGTCGGTGGTGAGGAGCTTGAGCTCGGCGAGGATGCGCGCGAGGACGGGGAACGCGGTGATCGACAGCGCGACGCCCATGAACACGATGAGCGGGCCACGGGGGGCGTCGGGGGCGATGGCGGCGCGGAGCACGAGCGAGGCGCCGACGCCGAGAGCAAACGGGAGCGAGATCCCGGCGGCGGCGACGGCGAGGGCGGTGCGGCCGGTGCGGCGGAGCGAGGCCGGGTCGAGCTCGAGGCCGACGAGGAAGAGGAAGAAGAGCAAGCCGACGTTGGCGAGCGTGTCGAGCACGGTGAGGCTGTCCTTGGGGAAGACATTGTCGAGGAATCGCTTGTTCCGCCCAAGCGCCGACGGGCCCAGGAGGATGCCGCCCTGTATCACGCCGCCATTGCAGTCAGTTCATCATCACACAAAGATGCTTCCTCCCTCCGTCTCATAATAAGTTTATTTTTACCTACTCTTACTACTTGTCCTAAAATAAAATAAATCTATTTTTAAGTAATCATTGTACCAGAATTTGTAAAAAGTAAAAAATAATTATACTGAGAGCAGATAAAATTGGAACTAGTTGCATTGAGAATTGATAAGTTTTGAATTGGCACGTGTTGTGGGTTGGATGAAAAATGAACTTATTTTGGACGGATGCAACATACCCATTTTGCTCAAACGGGTAATAAAGAAATAAATAAATGAAGAATTAAATACAAAACTGTAAGGGAAAGAACCCAAAGAGTATAGTATGATTGATGCTATGGGCCTGAAATTGATACAGCACATATACTACTTATATTTTATATTTAATATTCTTCAGGAATCAACTGATGATCTGTAGTAATTGGTTGTTTGGCAGCGTATTGCTGCTGTGCTTTGGTGGTCAATGGTGATGCAACTGTTGGCCTAATATTAATCCAGATGTTTCTTCAGAATCTAAGAAAATTATGTTTTTTAAAGTGTAAAGGAACCATACTTCTCCAGTTTTTTTTAGAGCTCTACTTTCTTCTTCTTGGAAACTGTATCTGTTTGCTAAAATATATGTTAGTCCAGAGAAAGCTACACAAGAAAAATACTCCCTCCGTATTTGTAAATGAAGTCGTTTAGGACAATGTTTAAGTCAAACCTTGGGAATATAATTCATAAATAACTCTCAAGTTGTTAAGTTTGAACATGTAAAAATTATATGAATAGATTTGTCTTGAAAAATACTTTCATAAAAGTATACATATATCATTTTTCAATAAATATTTTTTATATAAACAAAAAGTCAAAGTTGTATTTTGGAGACCATGTCGTTGTCCAAAGCGATCTCCTTTACGAGTATGGAGGGAATATTTGCATAGAAAATAGCTGCATCAGTAATTGCCACAGAATAATCCAAACAGTCAGCTGGCTCGAAATGGTTCATACTAGTCCTACTAGTTTAACTGTACTAGCTAGCCGGTAGCTTATCAGAGTCAGAGCCATCCTCACGAAGTCAACTCCTGTATTTTCTATAGAAGGGCAATGCTTGATTTATATTTTCAAAATCGAAGAAAGAAAACTCTGGTTAGTATGTGTTGTTCCTACGATTGCACGTGGTACGTATCGTGGACTGGTACGAGTTACACACGTGTGATGAGGAAGAACTCGATCAGAAACAGTTTTCTTACGTTTTTATCTGTAAGGTTCAGCTTCTTGCATTGTGTTCTTCATTGTATGCATGGTGCATTTGTCAATGGCAGCAGAAGCTACTGATCTTGTCAAGAACATCATCTTAGTGCTTACTAAGTACAGGTTGCTCTAAAAGTAGGAAAGATAAAACTAGCAGGTGACCCAAAAATAGCCAGCAATCTTCTGCAACTACCACCTCTGGTTCCCTTACCTACAAAGCCGGATTAATTTTCCTGAGGTCCAAAGCTTAACTTTTTTTTTTGGTTGTGCTAGTATAAAAGCACGCATTTTTTTTTTAAAAAAATATCGGTTGGTCTTTGGTATGGTGATCTTGTGATTATTGGTACTAGAATTATCCTCAAGTAACTGCGGTTTATATCACTCTAGGTAAGAATGAGTGACCATATGGCTCTGTTTGCTATCCCCTTTTCCCAAACATTCTTCCTCGTTTTCCGTGCGTATACTTTTCAAACGGCTAAACGGTGCGTTTTTTTAAAAAAAGTTTCTGTACGAAAGTTGCTTTAAAAAATTAAATTAATCTATTTTTTTAAAAAAAATAGCTAATACTTAATTAATCACGTGCTAATGGACCGCTCCGTTTTTCGTAATTACTGTTTGGGATGGGAAGAAGGATGTGCGAATGGAGGAAACTTTGCCAGGATGAGGTGGTGTCGTTGATCAACAGCGTGTCAGGATTCAAGAACAAAATGATAAACCATACAGTTCATGCAACGACAAAGTACTCCGTACTACGTCGTTTACTTTTTAATCAACGTTTGATCACTCGTCTTATTTAAAAATTTTATGTAAATATAAAAATACTTATGTCATATTTAAAGAACATTTGATGATAAATCAAGTCACAATAAAATAAATTATAATTATATAAATTTTTTGAATAAGATGAAAGGTCAAACGTTCGTCAAAAAGTCAACGGCGTCATACATTAAAATTAAAATGTGGAGGGAGTAATTAAGGTTGTATATAGTATGGTTGCATAATACCAGGACAAGAAAGGATTGCGAAATTTAACTGATGAAGGCATGATGAGAACAACTTACGATGATCTCGGCGATGACGCGAGGCTGGCGGAGAGGGCGGAGGGCGTAGGCGAGGCCGCGGGTGAAGACGACGACGAGGCAGATCTGCACGATCAGCAGCGGCAGCGAGAACCGCAGCGGGTTGTCCCCCTGCCACGCCCCCTCCGACGTCGCCTTCATCCCCTTCGCCGCCGCCGCCGCCGCCTCGCCCTCGCAACCAACCAATCTATCTCTCCGACCACCACCAATTCACAAGATCGACTCAGGGCAAGAACGCATGCATGGCGAATTGGCGATGGATGGATCAAGAACAAGCACAGCCAAGCTAGATTCCTGCCATATATATGTATAACTAGCTAGCTGCAAATATGCGAGGGGATTATGCAAACTGATGCTAACTAGTAGTGCTTACACGTGTGACCACTAGTGATTATTAATTAAGCTCAGCCTCTTAAGCTGATCGATCGGTGTCGAATTGGACAAATATAGGCAGCAGGCCACTGCAGGTGTTAGAGGTTTGGAGTGGGTGAAGCTTTGTGATCCATTCATGGCCACTTCACCACCTTATTTATAGCCAAGTAATTAAGCGGTTGCAGTGGGCTTTTGAGAGCTGGGTTTTTGTGAAATATTGGATCACTCATTCACTTCCATGCTTATGCATTGGACGAATTTTGAGAGCATTTGTTGATGAGATGAGATCGATTTGGGGAACTCAATTCGATCGAGTATTCACCGCCTGCGTTTTTCTGTGACTTCTTTTCGTGATCACGCAAAGCTTGCGCGCCTCAAATATATTAGACGAAAGCAAAGTTCTTTTTGTTTTTTGTTTTTGTTTTTTTTGACTGCGTATGGACCATGCATGTGTCATGTGATCGAGTTGCACGGCGGAGACTCGATTAGAGAAGCAATTAGTTAGTAGTAACTAGAAAATTCAACTGTAATGTGATCGTCCGTTAAGGCATATGATGTTTCTCAGACCATCATATCGTAGTTTCAGTTGCTTCTGTCGTAATTTATCGTCAGCAGATACGTACGCACAAATCAAATGTTATCATCAGCAACCGTTTTTGGCATAACAGGGTTGATTAATTCAGATTTTTTTAAAAAAGTATGCAGGCCAAATTTGTGGACGCCACAAAAATAATTTAGAACTGATGGTGTGGCTGACAAATTAAATCGGTCACTGATGACCTCTTAGGCTCTTATAATTTAGTCCCAAACTTGGCTAACTGATTTTCAATCTTGCAAATCCACTAAACATGCAAATCGTGCAAATTCTGAAGGAGATGCAGGTCAATAGTGCTAGCTTGGATGCGAAGTACCCTGAGAAGCTTGTACACTTGTTTGAAAATTACCGCGAAATCGAGATGAGAATCATGAGATGCAACACAATCCTAGCAAACAAAGCAACCGGGAAATGTCAGCGCTAACTTTTTATCTAATCACATGCATGCATTATTACTATCTAAATTTGAAATTCTAGAGGTTGTTGAAACTAGTCGAATTAAATGAAAACAGCATAAGTATAAAACTGCAGGGTTGTTGAAACTGAAACTAACTGAATGCACCTGCAAGTCCTTTCCTAGAGACAATGTAAAGAAATTTGGAAGGCCAACGTTCTTCCAGATCATTGTGGCTTGAATTGCTGCAAAAAAAAAATGCAGCGAGAGAGCGTGAGTTCAGGTTTCATGACATTAAACCCATCAGGTGTTCATGACGGCCCATTAGGGGTGAAGTAATGCGCTTGGCGCCGGCCCATTGTTGCAGCGCTCAATGTGTAGTGCTCTTTTTTTTAAAAAAAAAGAAAAAGAAAGAAAAACAGATGGAGAAGGATGCATATGGCAAACAAAAATGTTTTCCCTGTTGTAACTCAAACATTTCCACGGGACTTTTGTCAGCGACACTCCACTGTTAACCTCCAAAATAGTAAGAAAGTGTACTGATTAATATTGTGTTAGGTTCAAATGACGATTTCCATTGGCAAATACTCCCTCCGTTTTAGGTTATAAGACATTTTGATTTTGGTCAAAGTCAAATTGTTTTAAGTTTGACTACGTTTATAGACAAATATAGTAATATTTATAATATTAAATTAGTTTCACCAAATATATAATTGAATATATATTTTCATAATAAATTTGTCTTGGGTTAAAAATATTACTATTTTTTTCTACATATATAGTTAAACTTAAAGCAATTTAACTTTGACTAAAGTCAAAACGTCTTATAACCTGAAACAGAGGGAGTAGTATTGGAAGATGGGATTGTTTTGAAGTATAGTATTTTTTTTTCACAGAAAGCATTCTATATAGTCTACAAGAAAACTACGGTACAAAACATTAGGACAATCATCTTGAACAAATCCTGAAAATTTGTCCTAGTTACAGTTGCAACATGTGCCAACGAACAGCTATACCCATGAAGATGGATGCATGGAACAAATCACAAAAGAATGAAATTCTGTACAATAAATGAAGAGATCGATCTGGACAAAGAGACGAAACAAGCCAAGACCATCCGGAGGAGCAGTTCAAGGGTGTCGCCGCCGCCGCAGCTAAGCGAGTTGCCTAGACGCGTCCTCCGGTGAGAGCTTGCCCGGCGGCAAAGCACATCCGCGTCCTGGCCATTGAGGGCAGCCAGCTGCTCCGAGTGCTCGCCGATGATGCTCGCGGCGCGGCTGTCCTCGGCGAGTATGATCTCGTACCCGTCCCTGAGGCTGTCCATGCCAGCGACGATGTCACCGTCGAGCAGCAGCTGCCAGAACGCGCCGCCGACGAGCGGGCCACCGCGCGATGCCGAGGCGTAGATGGCGTCGAGCACCAAGTCGAGGAAGTAGTTCCTCTGCGCCTTGTTGGCGCCGACCTCCTTCCAGAGGAACTTGCCGTACTCGGTGACGAGAAGCGGCATGCCGAGGTACGCCGCCGTGGCGTCAATGTGGGAGCGCGTCCAGTTCCGGAAGAAAGTGGCCTGCTCGTCGGCGCTGGAGCCCCATAGCCAGACGTCCGGGTAGAGGTGGATGGTGGCGAAGTCGACGGCGGCGGTGCGGTGCGTGGCGACGTAGTTGGTGCCGTAGTAGATGCCCCACGGGTTGAGCTCCTTGCTCTCGTGCTCGCCGGCGCCGTAGAACCCCTCCAGCCCGGGTGTCACCAGGTGCCGGCCGTCGACGCTCTTCACGTACGGCGCCATCTCCTCCACCCACGCCTGCACCATGGCGCCGGTTGGGTCGGCGTAGCATCGCGGCTCGTTCATGAGCTCCCAGGCGAAGATGGTGGGGTCGTCCTTGTACGCCACGCCCGTCAGGGTGTTCACCCTCGTCAGCACCGTCTGCATCGATCGACGCCGATGCAACGGCAGCATGAATGAATGAGTGAGATTGAAATGTAACACATCGATTATCGATGCATATGCTTTGCATATATACTGACCTTGACGTGGTTCTTGAAGTAGGACTTGACGATGGTGCTGGTGAAGAAGTCGTCGTCGGAGGTGAGGTTGTGGCCGGCGTCCCCCGCCCACCGCACGTACTGCCGCTTGCCTCCAAAATTGTCAAAGTTGTTGGTCAGGCAGAGGAGAAGGTATATACCGTGCCGCCTTGCTTCGGCGATCACAAAGTCCAGCCCCTGCCCAGAAAAACGTTACAGAGAAGACAACCAGTGAGTTTTTGCGTTGGTTTGGACGACGACGATGGTAAGCAAGCGAGGATGACCTGGAACATGGTCTCGTTGTAGACGCCCGGCGACGACTGCAGCGGCTGGTCGCCGCCGTCGCTGAAGGCCCACGTTCTTGCCAGGTTGAGCCCGTGCGCCGATGCCTGCTGGAACGCCGTCGCCACTGCGCCGCGCAGCGCCGGGTCGGCCGCCATCATCATCAGCCAGTACGCGTTGAACCCGCTGAAGAAGATCGTCCTGCCGCAGTCCACCACGAACTGCGTGCCGTCCACGGCCACCATGCCATCGCCAGGCGCCACGGCAGCGCGCCAGGGTGGAGGTCTTTGAACTAAAGCGCAAGAACTCATGCATTTATCATTATCAAGATGATTGACATCAGAAGATTTGTACAGCCTCACTATAGGTCAAAACTTACTATGCTCAAGCCACACCTTATCTGCTTTTCACCAGCATTTCATGAAAAATTTTATATTGTTCACTGATTTAGCCCCCACATGTTATTTTTTTTTCTCTTTTAAACATCACTTGCAAACAAAGGAAACATAATCTGATCTAGATGAAAATTTTTACTGAGGATGAATAAAAACAAAAACAGCTTCCCTTGCCCACTCCAGGAAAAAAAGGATAAATACAATCAGTATGGCATAACAACTCGTAACCATACTAATGGCTGAGAAACTATTACAGCTAGATGCTTCATATTCAATGCCAGTCAGTCAATAACGGTGAAGTTTTTTTTTTTGTGTGTAAAGCGTCAAATGATAGGGAAACAAAAGTATAGAATCAAAAATCAACCTACGCCAAATTAAACCATAGACCTAGAGATAAAGCCATTCACATGTCTCAGAAAATGCACCATTTGTGCTAAACAAGTCCAGATTTCAGGGCAGGACAAACATAGGGAGCAAATTGTTTAACAGAAGATTAACAAATCACAGATAAGTGTAAACAAGAGCAACGTGCACCATTTATATTGTAATAACAGCACAGATCATGCTTTGATGAAGAGATCTCATGAAAATATCCCAACCAATCCATAGCAGGTTCCACATGAAAATTTTAAACCAGGGGTGTTAGACAAAAGTTATAGAATGGTAATACAATAAATTTAGCATTAGATTGAAACTTAAGCAATCAACGACCTAAATAATAGAAAGATGGCACACATCCAGATTCTCTCTCTTTTGCAACCACAATCACCTCAACTTCAAATTCCTACCGAAATCAAACAGTAACCAGCAAAATAAAAATCCCATTCCTCACGAAACCTCCCTAAATCATAATACGCCTAAATCTAAGAAAACGAAAATTCCTCACTGAATTCAACTCTAAGCCCCTGATAATCAACCAAAATTCTACTTCCACAGAATCTAAGCTTAACCCATCCCAGGTAGGCTATCCAGGAACCAAACCTAATCCACCCAAATTGCAGGTCGGCTATTCAGGAATCCAACCGTAATCTAGCCAATTGAGAATTCGTGCTGTTCGGCTATCCAAAATACACCACAACACCCCGTACGTCTAGCCATGAGCCCGTGACGAATTTTTTAGAACCAAAAAAAAAAAAACAGAAACAGAGCAAACCATGGCCCCATCTAGATCCCAAAAAAAAAGGGACAGAGAAAGGAGAGGCGAATGAACGCTCATTCGATAAAGCGATACCTAGGGTTGAGGTCCGTGGATGGCTCAGCAGCGTCGGACTCGGACCGGAGCAAGCGACACCCCCCGTGTCGCCCTCGAAATCCGCCCCTAGTATCCTCCCTGGGCAGCCCCGAGCATCGCCGGAGAGGCCCCGCGGCTGCGAGTTTATTCGGAGGCTTCCCCGCGGCGGCGGCGGCGCAAGTCAAGTTCAGTTGGGTGGAGACGGGCGAGCGCTGGGCACCAGTGAAAGAGGAGGGGATCGAAGGATGCGGCGAGGTAGAGAGGTGGTCGTCGCGTGTGTCGGTGGCGCGCGTTGGATTTTCTTGCAGCATTCGATTGATTGGATTGGATTCGAATGATCCCAAAAAGCGGTTCGAATCACAAAGGCGGGGGATTCGCCTCGACGAGGTGTGGCAAACTGGCAACGGCACGTGTCGGAGCCGGGTTGGACAGGATTGGCCCTTGCCTACAATGCCTTCATCTCAACCGTCCATCAGCCATCCGAGAGGCTGCAAGCCGGCAAACTGCAGCTTGGTTGCCGCTGTCATCTTCATCAATGGGAAAGACAGGGAAACTTTAACAGACAATTGCTTATTTAAACCTCGTTGTCTCTATTTTTTTAAGTTTACTCACTTGACCATATTTTTTAAAATTGAAGTTGTCGTTTGACCTTATTTGCAAACACTGTTAAGATTTCATTTAAAAAAACTATTTATACGCCAAATTGACAAAATACCCCTAAGTACACAACATCATATCCCTAAATTTCTTCTCATCCATTCATCTCCAAAGACTAGCGTGGCGGACAGTAGCCGAGATGGAGGGAGAGGTGACGACACGAGGAGGGAGTGGGGGTGGTGACGTGCGGAGGTAGCGGGGCGGTGAAAGCGGCGGCGTGCGATGAGAGCTGCGACAACGACACATGAAGAGAGCAGCGGTGTGGGCTCGCAGAGGGTGCGACGACAACGGTGCATGGTGGGAGTAGGGGCCAGGGGTAGTGGCACCCGAGGGGGGGCAGGGGCAAGGAGGTAGCAGCGGAGACTACAGCGCACGAAGGGATCAATAGTCACGCCAGCAGCGGCAGCGACACGTGAGAAGTAGGGGCGACAGTGGCGCATGGCTCTCAGCTCTATGTGTGTTTTGCTTTATCTATATTTTATTAATTATATGCAATTTGGGATGGGAAAAAGATAATTATATCATATTTTGTTAATTTGATTTGTCAAATATATCAATTTGAAGCCAAATCGATTAAACTTGTCTCAAATCTCGGAGCTATGCTAAATTTATTACAACTAGCATGGTGGCCCGCGCAGATTGCGTGGCTAGCATCATTATATTTTCTCATATAATAGCATATATGTTTTCTCATTATATTATTCAAATATATTAAAATGATAACATAATTTTAAATTTTGCAATAACTTTACAAAACTACTAATGTGTAATATTCATATTGTATTTTATATACGTGTTAGTTATTAATTATTTTTTATATCAAATTTTAGTTATTTGTAAATTATATATATTTCTATATGGACTCTAGACTCGTCTTTTAATATTTCTTTTTTTAATTCCAAATTTTCTGTAAATTGTATTTCTATATAGACTCTATGCTCTTCTTTCAATATTATTTATTTTTATTTCTGAATTTTTATTATTTCTAATTGTATTTCTATGTGGACTCTAAACTCATCTTTCAATATTCTTTAATTTTTAATTTTCGAATTTTAGTTACTTCTAAATTGTATTCCTATATTGACTTTAAACTCTTCTTCCCATGTTTTTCTTAATTTCTAATTTTAGTTATTTGTAAATTTTATTTTTATACGGACTCTAAACTTTACTTTTAATTTTGTTATGTTTATTCCAAATTTTAGTTAGTTTTCAATTCCTATATGGACTCTATACTCTACTCATAATATTCCTATTTTTAATTCTGAATTTCTATTATTTCCTAATTGTATTTCTATGTGGACTCTATACTCTACTTCTAATATTTCTTATTTTTAATTCCGAATTCAGTAATTTTCTAATTGTATTTCTATATGGACTCTACACTCTACTTCTAATATTCCTTATTTTTAATTTTGAATTTCAGTTATTTCCTAATTGTACTTCTATATGAACTCTATACGCTACTTCTAATATTCCTTATTTTTTAATTCTGAATTTCAGTTATTTCCTAATTGTATTTCTATATGGACTCTAGTCTACTATTCTAATATTCCTTATTTTTTAATTTCGAATTTCAACTATTTTTAAATTGTATTTCTATATGGACTCTATATGGACTCTAGTATCCTCTTCTAATATTCTTATTTTTTAATTCCGAATTTCAGTTATTTCTAAATTGTATTTCTATATGGACTCTGCCTTTTATTTTTCTCCGATTAATGTGAGAATTTCTAGACCATGAGAGCGAATATGGAGGCTCCTTTTTCTATTCCTTTAATAATATAATAGATTATGTCAAAGATTCGAATAAAAAAAGCTTTTATATATTATGGTCAAATGAACAAGAGAAAAAAATATGACAATTTGGTTCTTAGCACCGTTATCTTGTTTTCACATAACAGGTTTAGTCTTGATCTTTCATTTTGAGAAATGGGTCAAATAAGCAAATTTGAAAAAGTGAGGACAAATTAGAAGTTATGCTTCCGAACAGCGTCAAATAAGCAAATTGCCCCAAACTCTAAACTTGCACCATGGACCGATAAACATGGATAGATTAAATCTTATTGAATCTTTTTTCGACTGCGTTCTGAACTACAAGTTCCCATCTTCAGATTCCTTACACTTTTTGCGAAATTTTTCTATACAAAAGTTTCTTTAAAAGTTCATATTAATATATTTTAAAATTTAATTAATTAATGACTCACTTTGCGCGTGGGGAGAAGATTCTAACCCTTTCATCCGGATGCACCCCTCTAACACCAACCGTCAACGGTCCAACACGTTAATGGGCGGAAGCTTTGGCCCATACATACTAGGCCCGACATGACCTGTTAATGGGTCACCGGCCCACCGCCACTGCCCAAGCAAAATGCAGGCCGACCGCGTCCACCGCTCGCGCTCGGCTCGGCATGGGCGCCTCATCGTCTCCGCCAACCGCCGCGTCGTGGCTTCGCCGGGATCCATCTGGGTCGCCGCCGACTTGGTGAGGCGGCGTTGCAATCTGAGTGATTTGGGATTCCTTGATCCGTTGCTCCTGCATTGAATAATTTGGGTATAAATGTATGGCCTTTGGATCAGTTTGCTACTTGCTTCCCTTCCCACGGCATGTCTCTTGTGCTTGTGTCACCGGAAGTTAAAAAATGAAGAAGATTAAGGAAAATCACCCAATCGTTGCAGCCCCCCGTAGAGCAGAAAATCTTACCTTGTTAATTGACCACGTACGGCTGAAGACTTGCAGAGCGCTCAACAAGTAGACAGGCACGTAATTAGCTTTAAAATGCTGTAAATAATTTGATTCCAATAGGATGCTTTGATGCTTTTCTTTTCCCTCAGCAGTTATGCAGGAAAGCATCCACATGTTAAGTCATTGTTGCAGCACTCAATGTGTAGTCCTCCCGTTTTTTCAAGTATAGAGATGGAGAAGGATGTCTGGCAAATAAAATTTGTTTTTTCTACTGTAACTCATAAATCTGAGTGGGCCTTTTTCCAAGTGATGTTCCACTGTTAACCTCCAAAACAGTCAGGGATACGCTGATTAATAAGCGTTGTGTTAGGTTGAAATGTCGACTTCAACTGGCCAACAGTATTGGAAGCAGGGACCTGCAGTTCTGTAGTACAAAATTTCTTTTCAGAAAGCTAGCATTCCATCTTGCGGTGGTCTCTACTGTATTCCACTATCAACACTATAATTTAACAATTACAAACAGTAAAGAAAATTCTACTGTCAATAATTAAGAATGGTAGTATAAACAAATATGGTACTCCATCGTAGTAACCGTTGCAAAACACCTTATACAGGAAACTATGGTACAAAACATACATCGTCAGAACAGCCATCCTGAAGCGTTCCTGATGATTTCGACAGGTTACAGTTGCAAGATGTGCCAACGAACAACTATACCTAAGGAGAAGGATGCAAGCTATATACAAACTAGAAAAGAACAAAATTGTCTTGAATAAATGAAGAGATCGATCTAGACAAAGAGATGAAGCGAATCAAGAGCGTTCGGGGGAGTCGGAGTGCGTCGCTGTCGCCGCCGCTGCCAAGACGCGTCTTCCGGTGCGAGCTCGCCGGCCGCCGGCGGCGGCGGCGAAGCGCCTCCGCGTCCTGGCCGTTGAGGCTGGCCAGCTGCTCGGAGTGCTCGCCGATGATGCTCGCGGCGCGGCTGTCCTCGGCGAGTATGATCTCGTACCCGTCCCTGAGGTCGTCCATGCCGGCGACGACGTCGTCGTCGAGGAGCAGCTGCCAGAACGCGCCGCCGACGAGCGGGCCGCCGCGCGACGCCGAGGCGTAGATGGCGTCGAGCACCACGTCGAGGAAGTAGTTCCTCTGCGTCTTGTTGGCGCCGCCGCCCTTCCAGAGGAACTTGCCGTACTCGGTGACGAGCAGCGGCTTGCCGAGGAACGCCGCCGTGTCGTGGACGTGGGAGCGCGTCCAGTTGCGGAAGAAGGCGGCCTGCTCGTCGGCGGTGGAGCCCCATAGCCAGACGTCCGGGTAGAGGTGGATGGTGGCGAAGTCGACGCCGGCGGCGCGGTGCGTGGCCACGTAGTTGGTGCCGTAGTAGATGCCCCACGGGTTGAGCTCCTTGCTCTCGTGCTCGCCGTCGCCGTAGAACCCCTCCAGCCCGGCCGTCACCAGGTGGCGGCCGCCGTCGACGCGCTTCACGTACGGCGCCATCTCCTCCACCCACGCCTGCACCATGCCGCCCGTCGGGTCGGCGTCGCACCGCGGCTCGTTCATGAGCTCCCACGCGAAGATCGTCGGATCATCCTTGTACGCCACCCCCGTCACCGTGTTCACCCTCGTCAGCACCGCCTGCACGAGAGATCGAGCTCCAGCTCTTTAACATCTAGTATATCGATGTATGTATATATCGATTGTGACGTACCTTGACGTGGTTCTTGTAGTAGGATTTGACGACGGAGCTGGTGAAGAAGTCGTCGCCGGCGGTGAGGTTGTGGCCGGCGTCGGCCGCCCACCGGACGTACTGACGCTTGCCGCCGAAATCGTCGAAGTTGTTGGTGAGGCAGAGGAGAAGGTATATGCCATGTCGTCTCGCCTCGGCGATCACAAAGTCCAGCCCCTGCAAGCAAAAAAGAAAACCAGAGAAAATCAAACAAAAACTGTGAGTTTTTGTTCACCATTCCACGTGACAAATGGTCATTGATATACGACGAATGGTGGTGACCTGGAACATGGCCTCGTCGTAGACGCCCGGCGACGACTGCAGCGGCTGGTCGCCGCCGTCGCTGAAGGCCCAGGTCCGGGCGAGGTTGAGGCCGCGCGATGACGCCTGGGCGAACGCGGCGACGACGGCGGCGCGGCGCGCCGGGTCGGACGCCATCATCATCAGCCAGTACGCGTTGAACCCGCTGAAGTAGATCGTCCTGCCGCCCTCCACCACGAACTGCGTCCCGTCCACGCCCACCATGCCGCCGCCCGCCGCCGCCGCGGCGGCGCCGAAGACGGCGGCGATGATGATCGCGGCGGCGGCCGGCCGTGGCCTCACCGTCATCGCCGCCATGTGTGTTGCACAGCTTGCGCCCTGCACTTCTACTACACTTGTGACTTGTTCATGCAAATATGCAACGCGATCGAATTCGTGTGCGTTTTTTATATATATAGGCGCATGAGCAGAGCCTAGAAGATGCACGTTAATTAGATGGAAGTAGTACGTGGACAACGGTGGTGATCGTCGCCGGCAGCTAGCGTCCATGACGTGACGGCTGTGTGTGTTTTGAATATCTGAAACATTCCATGCGTTCTGCCATGCTAGAATGCATATACAGGACGGCGCAGATCGATCATATCGAGCTAGAATGCATCGTGTTGTTTTGTACAATTTCGTCTTGCCGTTTTCTTTCTTTCTTTCTTGCGAGGAGTCCTGCCGCTTTCGTCTCCATGAACACTACGCGATTACTTTCGCAGGAGAATGGCCACGTCGTCGTACAAAATTAGTTATTAATGTTTTTCAAACTAAATTAATTAAGTGTTTTTTGGGTGATTTTGGTGCCAGAAACGTCAGCATGGACTACACAAGGGACACGGAAGTACGTGTTGCAATGATATGATCGTCCTTACAAAGTGTTCGATGCTGCACAGGTGGTGGTGCCGTCGGACTCGATCGGTCGGTCGGTTTGGATGGCGGAGCCAAAATTAGCCACGTTAACGGAGTACGTGGAACTGCATATACTCATAATAATCCACAGTCATATGGTTCAAAACAAAATAAAATTCAAGATGCACTACTACGTGCTTAAGATGCAGTGGTCACATTTCTTCTAATTAATTTTTAATCATACTTCTACTTCTTTTCTTTCTTTTTCCTTTTAACACGAAAAGAAAAAAAACTTCCTCCAGTTTGTTCTGAAATTCCGATCGCCAAAGAGGCAGCTAGGTAGGCAGATTTTTTTTAGACGTAACGAATACAATTAATCTAGTAATGCTGCTGCAAGTACATCTAATCACATCAACGTACTTTATGGCGAATTAATTACTGTATTAATGTACTATCTGTCCAGAGCATAATGTTTCGTTAAGATTAAACTAAACCGTATAGACATGGGGAGGTACGTACAGTCGTACAGCATCAGTCGGCAAAAAAAAAAAAAAGAGGTTGCTAGGCAGTAACATCGATAGGTAACTGTAACAACAACCGCTGCAAGTGCAGAGTTAACTTCTTAATGTTGGCACTTACCCATCTTGCCTAATTAATCCTTCCTTCCTTGCCGACTTTCCCAAAGGAGAACTAGATACTTACGCTAGCTCCATTGGTAGGTGATATAAGTTTAAAGGGTCAAAGTAAAGCTTTGTTGTTCTCTGAACGAATTCCACAGATAAAAAAAAAAAGTCTAAAGCCGGCTGTGGCCGGCTGAAAGTTCTCACTTCTCAGGTCGTAAATCCCATCGCTGCTTTCGGCATGCTTCGCACCTTCCATCTGCAAATATATTTGTCCAAAAAAAAGCTCGGATCAATAACACCTGTAATAATATAGTTATTAATCAGCAGTAGTTAATAATTAATAATAATGTACTTAATAATTACTTCATCTATTTTTTAAATATTATATGACACAATTGATTTTTTTTCTCAAAATTTAACCAATAATATTTATCCAATTACTTACTTAAGTGGAGTGAAAAGAGTACCATTATGCCTGGTGTGATTGTTTATTTAAACACATATTTTTTGAAAAGACAAATACTAATAAAAAATCAATTGTGTTGTGTTATATATTAAAAAATCGGAGATAAAAATTAAGTAGCCAGAATTGCCCAATAATTTAAAGCACTACCATCAGTTAAGATTTGAGAAGTAATCCAACTTGTGAAAGCTACAGGTGTGGAGTGACGCTGCAAGATCATATCGATGTGAGGCGAGCAGTACACTACTATTACTTCCATGTTATAAGACTTTCTAGCATTACTCACGTTCATATAAATAATTTATTAATATAAGTAATGCTAAAAAGTCCTATAATATAAAACGGAGGAAGTAGCTTACAATATAACTCCATAGTTGTACACTTGCAGCATTATTGTTTATCTAGGTCACAAGCGAATGACGTGTGAAGTTTCTTCAGGCTTGCTCTAACAGATGCTATTACATTTCTTCAGAGATGCTATAATTAAAGAGAGAAAATGGTTGTCTTCAGAGCTGTACTACAAAGGGGTTTCTTCAGATATGCTCTAATTAAAGAGAAAAAACGGGTTTCTTCAGAGCTGTAGTACTGAAAGGTTTCTTCAGAGTTGCTCAAAATAAAGATAAAAAAGAAGCAATGTCTCCTCAATCTTGTGCACGTCACTTGTGCAAGGTTGTGCAAATCTTTATTGGATTCTATAAGTTCGTTCTAGATACCGGCAGATGCAGCATCGCAGCAATATCCACTGTGTGCGTTTCTAGTTGAAAGCCATTCAGTGAACTGCAATTTCTTCTTTTTTTTAAAAAAAAAGAAAAGGAAGAAGAAGAAGAAGAAGAAGAAGAAGAAGAAGAAGAAGAAGAAGAAGAAGAAGAAGAAGAAGAAAGAATCTTTGCAATGATAAGTCAAAGCATATATTGGATCAATTCAAGGTAAGGATCGTGTCAAGCTTGTAGAAAAGTTTGGCACATATATGCAAGAACGAACCTACGAGTGTCGTGCCGTGGCGCGGCAGCAGTTTGCAAGTGTCGAGCGTACGTACGTTGCGTGGTTTACCAGCACGCATCTGCAATGATCTCTTGGAGACTTCGACTCGTGCAATGTACTTCTTGTTTGGACATCTCTCGTTGGATTTTGGCCGTTTATATTCTTTGTGGATATAGGGTTAATGAAAAATCTATCATCTAAAAAATAATCTTTTGTTGGACTACTCGGAAATCGGATCAGATGCATGCTTATCGCCACTCGAGACCCGTCTCTCTCTACTGCTATTTTTTCTTTTCAATTTTTACCATTCACAGCACAAATCTTTTACTATCTGAATTATCGATGAACTGTCAGCATCGATTTTTTTTCTTGAACGGTCATCAATCTCCATCCTTTAGCAGATATTTAGGAGCCCTTTGAAACACGCATGACAAAAAAAAAGCATGAATCGATGTCCTCCCACGGAAAAAAAAAGGGAATAGTGTATATTTTTAATCCCACATAAATTCAAAACACATAAATTGGGAAGAGTAGTCATTTGATTGCATCACAATAAAAAAAACTGAAAGTGTTCCAACATCTTGGTTATTTTCCTATGGTATTGGCCATTGCAATGCAGTTCTATATAACAAAAAAATTCTACCCTCTCCCTATGAATCAAAGGACTCTATTAAAAAATCCTTTAAAAAAATTAAATCCTTCAAAAACTTTATCATTCATTTCAAAGGGGCCTTAACAGATAAATTAGACCATGACTCTGGTTATTGAACTCTCCAGAGTCCGGATTGTCAGTCTCCGGAGTCTCCGAATTGTAAGTCGGATAAATGAGAGAATGCCTCATGAAAGAACCATACACCTCGCCCTCCACAAATTACTAAATCCACCCAAAATATTGGATTTTGCAACACTAGTACTTGAATTTACTAAATTTTTTCCATGTATTGGGAAAAACAGGCAATGTAATAACATAACATTTTTCTCGAGAAACAACATAACCTTTTTTTTTAGATTTAGAAAAAAAAAGGAAATAACGTCATTTCTAAGACTTCACAATTCACAAGCAATGCAAAGTGCTATGCATCATGCGCACGTAATGACGTTTGTCGTGTAATATATATATCTCCAAGAGTACCTGAGCGGTTTGTCGTGTCCCTTTTCGAGATTTAACATATTTATTTTATTTATAGATAGCTCTTGCTCTTGGTCACTGAACAACAAAAGAAGAAGAAAAATCTGCATCCACTGCATTTGAATACCTAACTCGCCGCATGACTATAGACATGATTGCTGGAGTATATCTGTGATAGATTCTAGCTAACAACTACTGTAGCTTGAAAACATGTTGACGATTGAGATCTAGTTAATGAAAGTTGCTGTGTTCCAATCCAAGAGAGAACCAAATGACCATAAAAAATGCAAACTGAATAAGACACCGCGAGCAATTAAATTAACAGAAAATCACATAATGGACTTGATGTGTAAGCTCTCCCTTTCCATCTGATTGCCTTATTTTGCAGAACATTTTATAAATAATCACGTGGAACGTTATGTAAATAAAATAACGCTAATCTTTGGTTGAACACCTTGGAGCTTCATTATAGCCGATGAAAAAGAGAAGATTGTCAAAAGTGTAAATTTTGTTTGCAAACATTTGAATCGCTTAAGCTTTCCAAAGCAAATCACAACTAATACTGAGATTATGCAATTCCCAAATGCTCCCAGCTTTTCCTGTTGATCTAATAGCAAGGGCAAGACACACCTTCGATTTTTGGCACATTGAAATTTGTTTCTTTCGAAAGTGAGAGAAATGTAAGCTTAGTAAATGGCGTTCATTTTCGCTTCAGTAATCACTAATCAGCCATTACTCTGAAAGACTCATGGAAGAGATGTTTAGAAAATAAATGTTACCTACTGATAGATAATTCGATCAGAGATGATGGAAAATAAATGAAAAGGAAAAGGACAGTAGTATGCATCAGTGCAATTAGCACGTTTTTTATTTTTGTAATCTGAATAACGCGCTCCAGACTCCAGAGCACCTGACAGCTTCGACAAGAGTACGAGGCCTGGCACAAAATGTTGGCCAGGAAGCCCACATTAGCCATTTCAGGCCTGGGCTTTTGCAGGCCAGAACTCTAGTAGCAGGTTGTAGGAGTGCTCCATTTTGCACGAACAGAGTTCAAAACAACACATGTAGGATAGGATGGCAACAGATTGATCTATTAAACTGAAAATATGCCCGTTAAAAGAAACTTCATGAAGCAGACAAACTCAATAACTGGTGAGCTGATAGTGGGGTGATATACAATTAAAGAGTAGCCAAGCCTGCAGAGCAAATCAAATTACTACAAAGAAAAACTCTGTTCGACAGGTGGGCGAAAAAGAAAGTAACAAGTGATTCTGGAGATATGAACAAACATTTGGAGGTTTCAGAAATCAAGCCCATTCTCTCTAGCAGCATCAGCCAGAGCTTTAATGCGACCATGGTAGAGGAAACCACCCCGGTCAAAAACAACTTTGGTAATTCCTTTCTCCAAGCAAGACTTGGCAATCACTTCACCAATCTTTTGTGCCACTTCCTGGAAACCAACCAGAACAACAGAGAACTTTCATCAGAAACAGAGCTGTGACTTTCGGCAAGAAACAACTGCAGAAATATATTCGATATATTTTTTTTCACACTAAACTTTAAGATACGTGTTCAACACTGTTAATCCTATACTATCTGACCTGTGGAACATTTAATTTGTAAGTAGAGCTCAGAACCATGTACTAAAATGGAAATGCCACATGCATAAAACCATAAAAAACAACCGCGACAACTTCAAACAGCTTTCATTTTTTGTGCATTCCTCTGGGTTTTCTTCAGAGCTACATCAGCAAAGGATCGTCAGATATTTCAATGGTAAGTTTTTCTAGAACCTATTGATTTCGCAATCAATGTCTCCAAGAGACGACACTAGGTTAAGGATTTGAACAAGTGAGATTGAATTGAGCATGATTGTCTGATCAGACAAATATGGATGCACAATCATCTTTTCACATAAGTGCACCTACAAAATGTTAATAGCATCACCTACGGTATTATTGTGGTACTGCACTGCTCAATTTATTATTTTCAGAGAGAAAAAGAAGCAAAGAAATTAGACATGGGTAAGTCAAAATCAACTTACAACTGTTGGCCCTGCCGAGTATTCCAAGTCCTTTGAAAGAGACTTGTGCATTGTGGAAGCTGAAACCAGAGTGCATGACTTTGTATCGTCAATCACTTGAGCATATAAATGTTTGTTTGAGCGGAAAACACTGAGTCTTGGCCTCTCCGTGGTGCCACTAACCTGAAATAAATTATGTAAGGTTTACACAAAGGCATGCTTTTATTCACAGAAACATGCATTCTGATTCTGGCAAAGCCTACAAACTGAGTCACCCACCATAGTATGCACAAAGCCACAAACTGTTTGTTTGCGACCTCACGGCCAACTGACATTCTAACAAGTAGGACTAATCAAGACATACATAAACAAGATATTACTCGTTTGAACTGGACGTCACTGAGGATGACACTAGCGAATCCTACTCTCCTTAGTGTACCGCCGCCACAAAGGCATTTCATCAAATACGTCAACGGCATGACATTGCTCTCACCCCACAAGCCTCACACCTACCAACTAACCGCAAAAAGGAGCGCGCAATCATCGCATTGCAAGAGATTGGAAACAACGTTGGCTAATTCCCCTCGTGCAGGCGCTATTACTACCTTCTTGCGGAGGCGGACATGGCGGGCGATGCGGTCGGCCTGGGGAGTGGACACCTTGACCTTTGCAACGACGACGAGAGAGGCCCGCCGCCGCGCCTGCGAGGGCGAGGGCGCGGAGATGGCCGGAATGGGGATGCCGAGGCTCCCGGACACGGTCGCCGCGAAGGCGCGCGCGCCGGCGAGCGCCGGCGAGGCGAGCATGGCTAAGTGCGGCGACTACGCTGCTCTCTACTTGTCTCTCCGACGAGCCCAATGGCTTTGCCTTATCCTATCCACCCTTTGCATTTTAAGCTGATTTGGCAAACTTACAACAAGACCCCGCGTTAAAAAATAATTTATACACAGCCCCCGAGTACGTGATGGGCCAGGCCTATGTCCACGAGGAGATGCCGCGGGTAGGGCCCATAATGGAGGGGATGCCGCGTGGTTGGGCCTACCACCACGAGCCAACTTCCCAATTTGGCCCATTTAGATTTAGCGCACAATGATACAGCCATCGACACAGCGATATCAAACCAGATTTTGCCCAAACGCCAGAACAAATCACTCTGATGAATACTCGCAAAAGATACAAAAAGAGAATCACTCTGAATCTCTCTGATGAAGATGAATTTCGTTAGTTCACTTCACAGAAGGGCATTATTACATCAGACTTTACAGAAAGAATCGATTCAACTCTTCTCATTAGTTATTACAGATCGATCGATCGAGATGATCAATCGAGCAATGCATATCTTCATGCATCTCAGTTGATCAAACAAACACCTAACTAATTGATTGATACGTAGTACATAGTACATGTCTAACTAAACCTGTTCTCTGACGAAAAACACTGCACTACTTAGTGCTACAGCCGCTCACTACACCTCAATCAAAAACTTGTTTCATTTAATTAGGGTTCGAGCCAAGAATGTCGTCGAGGGTTTCTCCGGAAGCCAGCCGCTGGATGATCTCCTCTTCGCCCATGCAAGGTCCGTTCGTCGTCTCGATGAATTCGTCTCCGCCGCCGGCAACCTCCATCGTCGGAGCCCACGGCAATGGCTCGTCGTTCATCAGATACCTCATGTACTGCTCCGTCGTGGCCGTGTCGAATTCCACTCCCAAACTGTCGTCCATCGGCGCCGACAGCAACGCATCCAGGTCCAACTCCGGCAGGATCGCCGGCTGCTCGCTCCCGGCCTCCTCTTGCCGCGGCCGCGCGCTGGGCGGCGCCTCCGGGTGATCCGCGCCGTCGTCCGCCTTCCTCTTCGAGCCGGAGCATGGCGAATCGGCCGACTTCGCCGCCGCCGCCGTGCGCGCCTCCGCGCAGACCGCGCGCGGCGAGCGGTAGACCTTGCAGAGCACCTGCTTGTCTGCTCCGTCGATGGCGTCGTCGTCGAGGCCGTACTCCGTCATGCACCACCCTAGCCTCGTGAACGTGCGCGCCGACCCCGACGACGACGACTCGTAGACGCCATAGGAGAACTTCTGGAGGTACCCGACGCGGCGGCCATCGGCGCCGATCACGGCCTTCTTGCCGCCCTCCGACTTCCACACGCTCTCGCCGCCGCCGCCGCCGCCGACCGCGCGCTGCCGCCTCCCGGAGGTCTTGCGCTTGCTGGTGAAGCGCGGGGAGCAGAAGAAGTACCAGACGCTGCTGCTCCCATGGGTGCCCGGCGCCGGTCTGTGCTCGCCGACGAGCTCGGCCGGATTGGCGGAGTAGACGTCGGCGTGGTTGATGAGGCGGTCCTCGAAGGGGATCTTGGCGATGCTGGGGCGGAGGAAGAGGGTGATGAGGCCGTCGTCGGAAGGGTGGAAGACGTAGCCTGGCTCAAGAGCGATCTCGTCGTCGTCGGCCATGTCGGCGGCGCTAGCTCTCGCGTTGCCCTAGCTTCACCTCGATCAGGGGAGAATCTGAATTGATCGAGGAGAGCTAGAGCTAGCAGATGGTAGCCGATCGAGGGTATTTATCGTGGACGTGGCGCACGTACGCGCGATCAAATCGCAGTACAGACAATGCAATCGATCGAGAGTTCGAGACCGACTCGGACTCAGGCGAACCAAATGGTTTTTTTTTTTTTTTTGGCGGGAATGCGGTATTTGTACGCGTAATATGATTGTTTGTTGCGAAATGCTAATCGATTAGTCCATCCAAATTATGGTTTCTTGATGGGCTAGGCCCGGCTGGGAGAGGCCCAATTCGGTGACTGGTGAGGCCCGTCATCGAAGCAACGTCATGTGGTCAGGCCCACTAGCACAGCCATCCTGCGTTACTTGGCCCATTTAGAATCGGACCGCAACAATTCTATTCGTGACAGGCCGTGCCGGCTCCTTCTCTAATGGCCTCCTTTCACTTAACTTTTGGGTTTTTCTCATTGAGTATTGAGGAGGATCCTCTAGTACACAGCTGGAGCAATTTTATGACTATCTGATCCCATTAAGCAGTATTTGATTATTATCTTTTTTGCGTTAAGCAATCTTCATTCCTCAAGATCATCTCTTTTTTTTCTTAAAAAAAAGAGAGAAACCTTCAACTTGTGATAATTTTGCACACTTTTCATTGAGGTTTATATCTATTTGCTTACATATTCATCTGCAGACAAAATGTTTTTTTATGTCCTCTAATACTCTATACCGAATTGGAAGCAAGAAGAATTCTTGGTCTCTAGTATTGCACGTGTCTCAGAAAATAAAAGTTATTTTGAATTGCTGAGGATTTGGGATGGTTTATTTCTCCTTTTTCCCCCCTCTATACGCAGTTCCACAGAATCTTTTTTGATACTTTCAAGAACCATGTTGATACTGCAAGGATCTATCAGTGTTATATTTAATGAGCCTCAATATCCTTGTTTTTCTTGATTATATATGTTCAGTTGTATCAGAAAATACCAAAGATAACAAGGAAAAATATACCAGTTTTCTATTTCTTAAAGTTAACATTATTCTGTTTTGGACTTCCATTGAGCATCATCAAATCGCAGAGTACTTCTATATGACAGTGAAATCCCTTCTTTTTTTTAATATATATATTCTAAATTGCTAAATAGTACAGATGCACCTCTTTGTTTTCCTTGCAGCAATCAATTTCCTTCATTATCAATTGCAATATTTGTCTACTAATATTTTAGCGCAGTTTGTTTACCATGGAACAATTATTATTAACTAATACTGTATTTTATATAGTAGTATTTTTTTTAAGACTGCATCCTGCTAGTGCTAGTTCATACTGCCATGCTGGAATGTTCTGGAATGCCAAAATCTGGCAGGAAATAACTTCGTAGGATTTGCGGCACATATCAGCTTATCTCTCACAAAAATCGTTAAAAATTTCGCACGTTCCAGACGAAGCCTAGCGGATTTAGAATTTGGATTAGAAAAAAAAAAAGAGGCAAAAATTGCGAATAGTAATCAATCTCCTGGTCCATGAAACCCGTGGATGAAGGAGCGCTAGCAGTATATCATGTTGAAGGGCATTCATCTCTATCTCTGTTATTGCTGCTGTCGCTGCTGCATCATAAATGAGAGCCATGTGAAGCGCCCAAACTATACATGTTTATCTTCAATTTAACTTACATATAGGAGTACTTAAGACAGGTCATGGTGGTACTGTGTCTGCACGAACGGGTGCATTACATTCATGTATCATTATTCATTAGGTAGGATTAGTAAATGAAACGAGAATGGAGAAATGATTTGGCAAAATTTGCTCCATTGCAAGCAGTGGCAGAGCCAGAATTTTATACCTGGGGGGTCAATTACTAATGATTTATATTTAAGTGGGTTATTTCTCTAATTTTTTTGAATTTATACATGAAATCGAGATTTATATGGTGTTTTTCAAAAAGCCGTGGGGTCAGCCGATCCCACAGAAATGGCCTAAATCCGCCACTAATTGGAAACCCAAAAGATGAGAAACAAAGTTAGGGAGGAAGAGATGAACGGACAGCTCGTACATTTTTTCTGTCTACTACAAAAATGGTAGGGGAACCCCGGTTGTAGTCGAGCAAAAGCGTAGGGTTACCGAGAAAAACCCTAAGGTTTTAAAAACTGAGATGGTTACCACGAAAAACTGAGATGGTTACCACGGTAATCGTGAGGTAATAGCGTAGTATTATAAACCCTGACTACCACTGTTAGCTCTTCCTTTTTTTCATATTTCAGGTGTACATCCTACCATGGCAGCTCCCTGAGAAGATTAGCAGCACTGACATCTTTACAACTTCTAAAGCAGATAGCAGCTAACCTTAAAAGTACACAGTAGTGGACTTTGTCAATCTGCACTCACAAAGTGAGCTATTGTCCTCATCATGAATTCAAACTGGGCTGTTTATTTCCCAGCTTTTGGATTCAAATTTTGTCTCTGTTAGGTTCCCCAAACCTGACTGCAATGGCAACGAGGTAGCTGTTCGTTTCCAAAGCTGTTGCTACCAGTACTGAAGTACAGTATGAATGTATGATTACCTGAATTTCCTCTCACACACTGAAAGTCTGAAACATCACAATCCATCCGATCCTTCTGATCAGAAAAAGAAGAAAACGTCCATGTCGAATTGCTCAATCATGCTTTTGAAAAGACAATGGCACCACATTCCAGAATCAAACCATCATATTGTTCATGAACTACGTTAAACAGAATGCAGAGAGAGGAGTCAAGAAAAGATCACGCAGACAATAGCTAGCTAGCACATGCATCTGGGACCATCATCTCATGTAGATAGTACAAGTACCCTACTCGTCGTAAGATGGAGGAGTCCTACTACTACCTCCTCTCTCAATCCGTCCCCAAATATAAGGATTCAGATTTGTCCTAAGTTAGAATCTTTTAGCTAATCAAGTTTTTATCGAAAAGAGTAGGATGAAAATAAAATATATTCAAAAAATAAACTACCGCATCAAAAAATAAACTATGAAAATATATTTCAAAACAATGCTCATATGATACTATCAATATATTCTGTTCGTAAATATTATTATTCTTTTCATAAATTTAAGATAGTATCCTTATATATATTTTGAGACAGAGGCTTTAAGATAATAGCTAACTGACTTGATTAATCAGGCATTTAGATTTGTAGCGTGGCATATGGGCCAGGATAATAATGATGGATTTCTTAGTGATAATGACTGAGTCCACTGACCCGGCCTGGACTCGTGGAGAAGGTGTAGTAACATACACGGCTAAATTAAAGCTAGTACTCCATTGATTTTGGTGGAGTGCATGCTACAGTGCATCAATTGATCGGTCAGTTTTAACCAGTGATGAATTACTTCCTGCCAGTACAGTGTTTCAGTTAAGGCGTATTGACACGGTGGTGCCAGCCAAAGTCTTTCAGGATTTGTACTGAACAAAATCCTTTATTGTGATGGCATATGTGCCGGCATGGAGTGACTGGACGAGTGTAAAAATATTTGACAGATTGCAACACAAAGATTGCCTCCAAAAAAACATATTTGTTACAGTGTTTTTCTGCATTCCTAAGAAGTGATGCCGGCTGTTCACTGCCTGTTTGAAGTAAATGACAGTGAATTCAGCCAATCCAAGATCAAATCTTGTGCACATCAGAGAGAAGAGGAGTTCCCAATCTCTCACGGAATTCATTGAAAAGGAGGCAGGAATCAAAGATGCCATTTTCAATTTGGCATCGTCTTCCTTGCATTGCATGTAGCAAGTAGCAACCATTTGCTTATCTCTTCTTCTTCAGTTGTTCTTCTCCTTGCACTGCTGCCTTTTGACCGCGACACGCACTTGAAATAAAGCTGAAACACGAACCGTGGCTCACCTCACCTACTTCCAAACAAACTCTGAATATTTTTTTAGAATTAGACCTCAGACTTTGGGCTTCTTTTCTTTCTTTCTTGGTCCCTGCAACTCAGAAGATTCACCGGCCAGGCATCTTTCCATTATCCTGCTCCAATTCTCTTCTCATCTTGTTTGCATGATTGATACTAGATTGCCACAGTGGCCTCAAAGATTTCACATTTTTCTGAAGAAAAAAAAAACTGATTTTGTCTGAAACTGCATATGCACGTGCATGCATAGTATATGTACACAACCCTGATTTTATTTACATGTCAATTTTTAAGAAAGAAAGAAGCGAACATAGAGGTCAAATCAAGCGACCTGAAGAACAGAGGAGCAGGTAGAAATGCAGAAAAAAAAAGTTGAGCAAAATACACAGCTCGTTCATCCATTGGGGCAGACCGGCAGAGTAGTAGAGTGTAGATTCACCATTAAAAGTAAAAGAAAGAAAAGAACGAAAAAACACTGAACATAAACAATCCCCTTAGGTAATAAACACCCAGTTTATCCTCTCTAGTGAAGCAGTAATAAAGAACTGACTCCATGGAATTACACTACAAGTTACTAACATTTTACCGGCTAATTTTTACTTTTTTATCCAAGCAGCAATGAGCTTAGATTGCCTTCTTGTTTGAGACGCCAATTAACCCAACCTAGCTTTGCCTTTCTTGCTTGATCGATGCTTTGCAGCTTCGAGCTCCTACCAGAAGCACACGGACGACGACGCGGCGGGCGCCGGGGCGTGGGCGGCGCCGCCGGAGAGGCGGCCGTAGCGGCCGAAGCGGGCGCCGCGGCGGTGGATGTTCCGGCGGCGGGAGACCCAGGCGAAGCAGAGGCGGAGGCGCGCGCGCAGCCGCCGGAGCCCCGTGGCCGCGGCGCGGCGGAGCCTGCGGAGCCCGACCCAGACGACGCGCCGCGCCCGCGCCCGCGGCGAGAGCTCGACGTCGCGCGAGAAGTGGTAGCTCCGCAGGAACAGCTGCCTCCGCTCCACCTGCCGCTCCCACCGCGCCATGTACTCCACGTACGGCCACGCCGCCGCCGCCGCAGGCGCCTTCGCCGCCACCCGCACGCCGGACATGGCCCAGCCACAGGTTCTTGGCCTGCTCTGCTCTCTTCTTCTTTCCCAAGGCGCGCGCGCGAGCGAGCGAGCGAGCGAGCTTACGTTGTGGCTGCGGCGAGGAATGGAGAATTGATAGGAGGAGGAGGAGGAGGTTGCGGCGGCGAGGCCTCGCCGTCGTCGGCGATGGGTGCGGAGGAGGAGAGGGAGGAGGAGAGAAGGGGAGATGGATGGAGTGGAGGGGAAGAGGTGGGTGGCTTTTATTCTTTCTTCATTGGACTTCCTCTCTCTCTCTCTCTGCTTGCATTCTGATTTATGGGCGGATTAATTATAATTAATTGATTAATTGATTTTTTTAATTGATTGATTTGATTAATGGTTTTGCTTGCTTTGGATTGGATTTGTTCAGCTAAGCAAGGTTTACATGGACAATTATGCACTTTATGAAATACCTGGTAGTTTGTAGCTTGAGTTTTCTACTGCTAGGGGGGGGGGGAAATCCTTGTTGCGTATGGAGGGAATAGTGCCGGTTTGTGATGTACAAGTAACTGCATATCATAAACCATACATGCCGGTGCTGTCAATGAAAAGGATGCACGCTTAAGGGTATTTTTCTTTTTTTAGTTAATCAAGGGTAATTTTATTAGATAGGAAAAATATTGACATTTTTTGTCGCAACTCTAATACAATCAAAATTTTGCAAGTTACAAAAGGAGTACTAGGTTAGTATATTGTGGGGGAGAATTACATGACCAACCCAGTGTGTAATTAGGTCTTTGATGCGTTTGTTTATGTAAACCGTACGGAGGTGGGCTTCCGTTGGATGGATGGGAGCAGAGAGTCGTTGACCTGAATGACATGAATGTCCCTTCTGTACTCTTCTGCTCCTCTCCACCCAAAATGTCCTTTTGGATTCTTCGCACTGCAGCATCATGGATATAGGGCTGTGTTTAGTTCAGTACAAAGTTTAGATTTTACTTGAAATTAGAGATGATGTGACTGAAAAGTTACGTGTGTATGACAGGTTGATATGATGGAAAAGGACTAAAGTTTGGATCTAAACTTTGGATCTAAACACAGCCATAGCATGCCTCAAAGGCAAATGAAAAGTCCACATAAATTTAATTCAATAGTTTGTGTGGTTTGTGATGGAAATGGAATGCTTCTTACATGAACTTTTGATGGATCAAATGAAACACCATTGGTATGTGAGGGCCTCAGTATGTCTTTGTTTTCCAAGACTGTCTAATGTTCAGGTTAGCGGAACTTCACTATGGTTCTGTCAAATGCTTCGTTCGTTTCTGACTCAACTTATTCTGGCATGGGTAACGAGTTCTTTCTCTGGGTTGATAATATTTGTTATTTTGGACAAGAGCACGATCTCAAAAAAACAACTTTGACCATTATTTTCATTATAATATGTATAAAAGTGTTAACAAATATATGATTTTATTAAAGTACTTTTTAAGACTAATCTATACATGTAGTCACCATATTTGAAAGATAAATATTTTAAAAATGATCCATAATTAAAGATTTTAAAGATTGACCTCACACTTATTTAAAACGACAAGTATTATCAGTCCGGAAGGAGTATAACCATTAATCATGTAAGTATTAACTATTATATATTAAAAAATATTTTTGTTTCATTTTAATAATTTTTTATATATTTTTTACACAAAATATATCGTGTATTAGTTCGAAAAACGTGCTCTCTGTAAACGATTGAGTAACCTAGTCTCTAAGCTCATTAAGAACGCAGCCAAGTCTTGGCCATCATTTTTTTAGGAAATGTGTACTGATTTCTAGAACATATATTCTAGTTTTAATTTCAATAAGGAGAGATTTCATGTGGCTGAAAACTGCAATATAAAAAGGTGAAACGGAATCTGGCTGTATCACAAGTGAAGACCAAAGCATGAAACAGTGTATCCTTGAATCCTTCAGTAGCTGTCGATCTGATCGTGATTATACGAAGGTTCTTGCGTGCCACAGGTGGATACAAGATGAATTCTTGAGGAAAGCTACTCACAAGTGGGCGTTTCTCTCAGACATGTCACCTCGGAAGTTCGTTATATTTCTGGCTGGTCGTTGCAGCAACCAGCTGAAAATGAAACTGCAGGTCAGTTGTTTCTGCATGGTATTCCTGGGTTCAGGAATTTGATATATGAGTATTTAAATATCAACTTGGAGTTAAAAGATGAGCAGTCTGTGTCATCATTTTCATTTATAAATTAATTAATTAAGCTCGATCCATCAACAGATGGGTGTGTGCCGTTAATTCGATGCGTGCTCTGAACTTTCTGAAGAGACGATATATACATTGACCAGTTGGCTTACAGTACGTAAGTCAGTGAAGGATTATTAGCTAGCAGATTAATCACAGTAAATAGACGTATGTTGAGGGTAATATAAAAAAGTCGATTGTTGGTAAAGAATCAATTACTAGCTAGCATTCCATGGTAGCACTCCACTACTGCTTAACTACGATGAACATATGGATAGATCTTTTTGTGACGTCCACATCACAAGCAAGAAAGATGATTACTTATGTTAATTACCCGAGGTAGAAGAAATTAAGAGCGAGTTGGTTATTAAATCAGGGAGCTGGCTGGCATATACTATCATTAGTTTATTACTATTACTATGCGATGGAGTAGAAGGGAGTAGGTGATGGTAGTTCACGCTAACTAGCTACTAGTACAGTAATCTCTAATCTCGGCTGGTCACAGCGTACACTGCATCTGCATGAGCGCCGGCTTTACTTAATTAAGTATTCAATTGCTTAGTTAATCTCATAGAATATCTATCATTAATTAACTAACCCCCGTGCGTGTGTGTATCAATCGTACAGGGTTGGCATGCACAGATGATGGCGTCTTGTCATATTTGCAGTGCAGATGCTTCAAATTTTAGTTGTCTGAACTAATGATGAGCTTGCGTGTACACTGTAGCTAGAGTGAGGAGAGAGCTAGCGGCGAGCCTGCCCTGATCTATCGCTTGCAAATGGCGTCCAAGCTAATTCGTGTCTGCATGATACCAGCAATCAATTCCTCGTCAAATACGTAAAGATACTTCATCCTGAATGGACTGCTCTAATGATTACTTGCTACTAATAATCTCGTACTATTATCACTCAGTGATGATACCATGCATGATGACTCAAATATATATGGATTCAAAATTAAAATGAAAATGTATTACTACTACTATGGAAATATAAGGAACAACCACCCTTAACCCAAAGACCAATAAATAATTATTATTACCTCGTAGTTTGGATTACCTAATAAATAGAATATATGCACCCAATAAAATTAGATATCTTGATGGTGGAGGATTTAAATAATAATATTTGAGTGAAAAAAATGTACTACTTAATAACATGCATGCATGCCTGTCTTAGGGCACCCACAATGGTTATCTATAAGCTCTCTACAAGAGATCCATGTCAGCATATTTTCCTACTTGGAAGAGATTAAATGAAGAGAGAGAGCAAAGCTATCTACTAACATGGAGATAGTCTATAGAGAAAAACGAGGCAATGGATTAGAGAGCTATAGATACCCATGTAGACATACCATTGAAGTGGTTTACTATTAATCTAGTCTATTGTTGAGGTGTACATGTTTTATAGATAGCACCTTACTTTACCATTGCGGGTGCTCTTATACTGAATTATAAAACAACTTTAAAAAATAGTTGTGCCTTATATTATGGAACAAATGGAGTAAGATACAGTAAAAAGTAAAATGGTCAGTTATATAGGAGTAAAGTAGGAGATCGAGTAGTAGTAACCGTTGGAAAAGTTGAGCGATGACACCACGCGTGGACCATGCTGCGAATCGTAAATGGCATCCTTGTGGCCGCAGCCAGCATCGCAGCCGCAGGGAAAGCATCTAATCGCCCATGATAAAGACATGACTGATGACAACTTAATTGATTAATCCTTTCTGTCCAGCCTGATCTGTTGGAACTTGCACGTAATTCCTCACAAAAAGAAAACAAGATACGGAGTACTGTAGTACTAGTACTCCTGATGTAGCTTGTCAGAACTCAGAACGGGAAAGAATTAATCGCGTATCAAGTGGCAAATCGTGATACTAGAACTATTAATCACTCTAATGGTTCGCAGATGTAAGGATGGTGCAGTGCTCCTACTGGGCTTCAGATAAATTCAGAGTTCTGAATTTCTGATATCATGTCTGCCAGCATTTGATGTTCTAGTTAATTACTGTAGGACACGGATGGTGATATGAGATAATAACCATAGTTAGCTCAGATTTGAGGTAAATACTCGCTCCATGTACTTGACAGCCATCAAAGATACTACTTCTACGTAGCAGTGCAAAGCTACTCTTAATCTAGTCGAGTACTACCATGCAGCTAGCAACCGATTTGCAGGCCAGTACACTCTACTGGTACTAATGGTTGTAGTAAATTATTGGTACTATGAATGATCTGGTATTCAGTAGGAGTACGTGTGTAACGTCAAGTAGGTCTCGTCCCCAAAAATTCGATCTGATTCCACTTGTCTTGCAAACAAAGGCAGCTGCAGATCCAAGTCAACCAATTTTAGTTCTGCAACTCTTCTCGAGTAGTAGTATGGCTGTGGGAACCTGATAGTAATAAGATACTGGGCAGCAGTAATCACTACTATAGTATTAGCAATAGCTTTCTTCTCACTCTTTGCTTACCTGTAACAGAGTGAGTGTTGGGGTTTGAAAAACACATCATGCATCTCCATCAAGAACAGTTACTGCTCAAGGATTTGTTATTCTGAAAACGGTGCGTGCTTGTCCAAGAAGACTGTATCCTCATAATTTATTCAATTTGTTCACTTCAGTTCTCTACACGCCATCCCTCTGCCTAATCTGCTCATGGCATGTGCATGATCGTCATCGACCCAGATAACCACATCATATATATTAAATCTTTAGTTTACCTTTCACATTAGCGTGTAACTCTCTTCTGGCGTTACTGCAGAAAATAAAAACTGTAAAACAGGTAGTAGTGATGGTAACGTGAGTTTGTTAAATAGCTAGGCAGATGGTTAATTTCTAGTGGAACTTCATTTCATTTCACCACTTGGCAAGTTCTCTAAGATATAAAAAAAAAGGAATTAGGTAATGGCATGATGATATCAGCTATCTTAAGCTGTTACCAAGATACTTCCTCCGGGTTTTTTTAATAGATAACGCTATACATTTGACAATTTATTTATTTCAAAGTTTTTATATAAATATGCAAAAAAAATATAAATCATGTTTAAAACAATGCTAAACCAAATCACATGAAAATAAAAGGTAGTTACATAATTTTTCAGTATGATAAATGGTTAAACATGTATTCAAAAGTTAATCGGCTATTATAAACCGGATGTACTACCTCTGTCCTAAAATAAGTGTAACTGTGAGTATCCGTGTCCAATATTTGACCGTCCGTCTTATTTAAAAAATTTATAAAAAAAATAAAAAAAAAGTCATACATTTTTATCATCTAATAACAATAAAAATAGTAATCATAAGTTTTTTTAATAGAATAAGACGAACGGTCAAACGTTGGATATGAACGGTGCAAAACTTACTACCTCTACGGAGAAATAATGTGTGTGTGTGTGTTGGGGGGTGGGGAGTGTTGTACTGGTGGTAAGGTACAGCAGGGCAGGGACGGCACGAACAGCGTGTGTGGTGTTTTGTCATGCAATGCAATGGTCACGACTCACGAGCCACGGCATGAAGCCGTCATTCCGGCCAATGCTTGGCGACAGGACGAGTCCTGTTCCTCCGTGTGCAAAATGTACGTACAGATTCAGTAATGGGAAACATGCGTGCAATGCAGCTACTCCTACTAGGCAGCAGTACTGGGCAGCCCAATGGTTTGGTTCAGAGATCATCCACCGGCACGAGCACAACCCGTGGGGAAATTAAATTACGGTCTACACAGTCTCCAGCAAAAAGATTACGGCCTAAACTAAGCAAATCCATAGTTAATTAATGGTCTTCTTTCGTTGTCAGGCACATGTTTTTATCGTGTTAGGATCAACAAACCAACTCCGTCCTTTTACATGGGCACAGCCTCGAACTTTGACCTGATAGATATGTCTCCCATTTCACGCATTTCGCTGTGCCGTTTAATCGATATCGTCATATCGTCAGCCACCAAATCGACCTACCACTTCTGAATTCTGACACCGGAAGAACACCACGCCCCCCTGCCTTTGGTGCCAAACTGCGACTGGGTCTATGTATACGTAAGCAGCACACACATGACACGTCGACACACACAGATCGCGTTTGCTCAAATGTAAGAAACACATCAAACTTAAGCAACAGTAATACTACTCTGAGTTGTACGCAAGAGAAACTGTGTCCAGCTTCGACAATCTACACAACTCGTAGCAGTAGTTTTGGCTAGCCGACCAACCATTAGCTACCAAGTTGAACGACGGTGCATCCGTATGAACGTTTTTCTATCTCCCGTTGCACGCAGCATTGACCATGTCATCTTCAGGTACGTGCCACCTGCCGGAACAACCGACCAAACCTTTACACGACAAACGGCAACCTTTGATATGCCCCAGATGCAAACTTTTGACAAGCACCAGATGTAAAGTTGTTTGACATTGGACAGTGATTCTAATTGGCGCGAACAGTTTCTGATGGCATCAGCCAGTCCAGTCGTGTAGGAACGAGCTGTACACACGGTTCATTTAATCTTAACATCCTATTGAGAACTCCCAGGTGGTAACAAAAATTTAACGTCCCTGTAAAACCCGTATTACATATAAATGAACAGAAGGCTCTCCTTTGGTGGTCAGCGTGCCAAAATCTTCACGACGGAATGACGACACAGAGCTGTACTAACCAGTGCAAAATCTTCGTCAGGCAATAGTGTTGGGCATGTATGGATCAGATGAAGGGGGACTGGGCTTTGGTGTTCCTTGGCATGTGTTGAATAGTCCAGCCGCTTGTTGGAACATGATCAAGCCCAGAAGGAGCAACTCCCGAGCGGCAGGGAAGAGTGTTGTTTCTACCATCTACTTGTTTGGGCAGTCTGATGCTCGGTGCCCGCTTTCGCCACAGTTGAAGCAAGCACCACTGAAGCTCCTGCTGCTGTAAATGAGGAACAGCTCATTAGCTTAAGAAAGCAGCATGAGTTAACTAGTAGCATGTTTAAGTAATTGTTCTGGTACTGAGAAGGTACAAGTAATCACTGGCCATGATTCAGGGAGGCAAGATTATGCTGTAGCAAGAGCTAGCTAGGAAACCCGTCATTAATTTCACAGCAAAGCTTTAATTACAACACATGAGTTGGTCATATGACAAGACTTAACTTCATAAGAGTAGCTAGTACTAACAAACATGAGTGGCTAAGGAAAAGACTAAACATTCTAAAGTTACCAGGTAAGCAAATTTTGTCTAACTCATAATGTATTTCATTTTCTCTGGTGGCATCTCCTAGAAGAAAGATACAGCATGGATGAAAAAAGAATAGACATTATGTTATTTCTGCGATGTTGTGAAACTCACCTGTCCCTAGACCCAAAAGATGATGAGCGGCCACCAAAGGATGACGAGCTACGACTGCCGTAAGATGACCCGCGGCCACCAAAGGATGACGAACGGTTCGATCTTCTCCCGCCACCAAAGTCATCATCTGACCAACTATCATTGTCAGATCTGAAGCTCCTGCCACCACGGCGAAATCTGTCTTCACCATCAGAGTCCCAACCACCCCGCCCGCCTCTTGAGCCACCACCCCTGGACCGTCTGTTCCTGAAACCCCGGTCCGAGTTTGAGAATCGGCCATAACTATCAGTAGCAGGACCATCATCCTGTAATGCAGGTAGCTGCAAGCAGAGAACAAAAGGAAAACAGTCATCACATTAGCTCACAAAGAACCAATTCCGCATCCAAAACAAGACCAGGGATTGCTATTGCATTCTATACTGTGTGTAGTGCAAGAATAATGGTAGAATATTCCCTATTTTACTTGCCATTTAAAGTCAATTTAAATGCCTTGGTTGGAAATAAATGGAAATGCCACCACGCCAGACAAATACTTGTGTATCATCACACAGATTACGTATAGCAATTGCACTATAAATTCCAATAGCAATAATTGAAAAATACCAAGCTGCAAAGGTTACCTTTGTCACTTTGGTTATGGTGTTTCCTGGGGGCAGTTCCATACTAAGCAAATCCCTCGCAATCTCCTCAGGTAAATCGAAAACTGCACCTTGAACCTGACACAACCAACAATGCGCCAATGCATGAGCATCACAGTGAAAGTCATACACATAAATGCAGGAGTTTTGAAGATATGCATGAAAAAGTAGTGATATGTGTCATCGATTTCTGCAATGCATACTATTGCACGTAATGCACATTAATTAAAGAAGATATATATGCTGCAAAACTAGTATCAGCCAACAGCTTCAAAACTGCATGCTCAATTGCTCATAGACCCAATGCACTCATGCACAGAAATTAATGATCGACATGCTCAAGCAAGAGCTCACCTTCTCATCTGCTGTAAGGAAAATTTTGCCAACTTCATCAGCAGCAGCTGAAGAAACATCAGACAGAAAGCCAGTAACAGATCTAGGAGAAAAGAACCCCCTTCCATATCCTGGATCTCTAGTTAGTTGCAAAGTCACCCATCCCTGTGTTTTAATAGAGGGTAAGAAATCATATGAGTGCTTCTAGCTTTAAAAAGAAAATATAAACGGTAAACGCACAACAAAACTTTGAGCAACTCAAAAAAAAAAGTGGAGCTTTTCTATACAATTATTTGATTGCCCATTATAAATTTATAAAAGATGCAATTTCAGTAATCAGTACTAGTAGCCCATTGTATTCATATAACATTAGGTGGATATAAATCCTCAAATGTAGAAGGCATAAATCAGGACAGCTGGATGAAGTTGATGGGTAGCTATAACTAAGGTAGGGAAAAAGGAAGTGTTCGATACAATGGTAGAAATAGTAAAATATCAGTTAATGATGGATACATGTAATTTCCTCGGGTCACTTATTAATTCTTACCTGCTCATGACTGATAAGAGAACGTGAAGAGGGTGGCTGAGAAAATCCACTCAGATGTGCCAATGCAGAAGCAAGAGCATTAGGTCCTAATTCTTCTTGCAGTCTTTCAGCTGCTGGAATGAAGTACTGAATCGACTCCGTGTGCACACCTCTTAAAGTAGCTATGACATGTTCAGCAGAGGACTCCAGCACATCCTCAATTGCTGGAGGACTTATGAAGTCAAATCTGCATCCAACATCACGCTCAAGTGATCTAACTGTCCTTCTCTGGCTGTTTGTGAACATCAAGATTGCAGTTCCTGCTTTCCCAGCTCGGCCAGTGCGTCCAGAACGATGAACAAAAGTCTCTGGATCATTGGGCAATTCATAATGGATAATCTGCATTAAAATGAAATCCTCTCGTTAATTGATCCATACACACCTACAGTTCATCCCAGATAGCATAATGCTCGAATGCAGTTAATTTGTTAACTAGTCGTAAGATTAACCCAAGATATCAGATTGAGATGCTATAAAACACATCAAAGCTAGATGATATTTCAATACAAAAACCTAAGTTCGGGGGGAAAAATGGACAGTTTGATGATCTAATTTTAGCACTGTAAATAATAATGGAGTTTAAAACTCAGAAGCTTCACTGATAATCGCTTTATGGAAAGGAAAGAGTTAAGATCTGTGAGGAAGGGTGATTTACAGAATTACAATATCTAAGAATCAAATGAAGTGAAGAGGATATGTGAACCCACCAAATCAACATTCGGTATATCAAGACCACGGGCAGCAACATCGGTTGCTACGAGAACAGTAAATTTCCCTTGACGAAAACCATTTAGTGTCCTCTCACGCTGATGCTGTGAAATATCACCATGCAGTGCCTCCGAAGCAATACTGTTTGTCAGTGCTAATGATACCTCGTCTGCATCCCTTTTCGTCTTGGTGAACACAATGGTTTTCCCACCCTTTGCATACACCTGATAACAAGATATTTTTAGATAATTGAGTGGCCAACGCTCAGCAAAACAGACTAGTTATAAAGTCAGTAAAAAGTTCGATAGACATGGAAGATGTATGAATGAATTATGTTCTGAAATCTTAATTGGATTGAAGTAAAAAAAAAAAACTTATCGGGCATCTACTGGCATGATGATACACCAACATAGCTGTATAAACTGTAACTGGTTTCATGATCTTATTAGTTTCTGAATCTCAGGAGGCTGAGCCGAAAAGAGAGGAGGGGAAAAGGCAGCTAAAAAATCCATGAACTGCAATAACATACCGTAATGAGATCACTAAGAACAGTGCGCTTCGATGTAGATGTGAGCGGGATAGCATAAAGTTTGATTCCTTCAGCAAGTTTTTCATCTTGATCGCCGACCTGAGTATACACATGACAATAAAAGATGACTAATCCAGACAAAAAAAATAAAAGTAAACCTTCACAGAACATGTGCACAATTATATCTTGCAAGAAACAACAGGTATTCAAGTGTAAGTGCAATTAGCATACTCAAGACCAGTGCTAATATCTCTTAATCCTCTTACATGTGTGCTGGACAGAATTTGTATTTACTATTTTTACAGCATATAACATGATCATAACAACTGACACATCTGATCTTGGAAAATCAAAATGATATCTGTGATTAAATGTAAGAATGCTCTTATACTAGATGAAACTGATTCCTGGAATGTTTTTGTTTGAGGGCATAACCAAATAAAAATAACAAGAGTGACATGTTTCACACCAATAAAAATGGAAATGGAAGGAAATACGAAGTTCATACCAAGTCAATTGTCAAAGGATTGTTCAAGTATCGCCTAGATAATTTCTTCACCCAACCAGGCATGGTGGCAGAGAAGAGCATGCTTTGCCTCTCAGCTGGTAGCTGTTGTAATATCGTTTCCACATCCTCCTCAAACCCAACTGCAAGCATTTGGTCAGCCTCATCAAGGACCAAGTACTTAACTTCTCCCAACTGAAGACTTCCGCCATTTATCAAATCAATAATGCGACCAGGTGTTCCTACAACAACATCAACACCACGGGAGAGTGCGTTCTGCTGGACATTATATGAGACACCTCCATAAACACAGACTGTACTGAGCTTGGGTGCTGATTCTTTTATTTCCTTCTCAACTTGCTTGGCTAACTCCCTAGTAGGTGCTAGAACCAAAACACGAGGAATACGACCTCGCCTACCAAAAGGGAAAAAAAAGGGTTAATGCACTTGTTAAGTATCAACTGATTGTCATGCAATACAATGTGAAGCTGCATAGGAAGATGAATGGATACCTCACACTCCGTCCATCATCCTCCTCCATTAATTGCTTGATCATGGGAATGCCGAAGGCTAGCGTCTTCCCGGTTCCTGTCTTTGCTCTAGCAATCAGGTCACGGCCGTCAAGAGCTGGAATCAATACAGCCCTCTGGAACAGCGAAAATAAATCAGAAAAGGGTCAAGCAAATAAGCACCATCAAGGTGAGCATGTGAAAGCTGAAATTCAAAGGGAAATAAACTTATTTGGCTATTTGTATCGACATTTCATAATATGCACCATGCCATTTGGTATGACATGGATATCGTTTTATTCTTTTAGAAGCAAGGATAAACGTAAAACTGGATATTGTTTTATTCTTTTAGAAGCAAGGATAAACGTACAACTGTCCTGATTCAACAAATAACAAATATGTAATTTAATGATAGTTAGCAGTATCTGTAGGAATAGGACGAATTTGATATGCAGCAAATCTATGAAGTTCTACGCATCAACGGAACAGCAATCAGCACTCTAGTTTGATATTAGAGTAAATTCCACAAAACTACATGTTTTGTAGTCCAAGTTGCAACAAACCACACACCCTTTGACACCTGGCACTTAACTACATATGTTTTAGTACTGAAGTTTCACAAAACTAACGAATGAATCCATCGGCGAGATGGCGTGGATGCATTCTCTGATAGTGTAGTTTTATGAAACTTCAATACCAAAATATATGCAGTTAAGTGCCAAGTGTTAAAATATTTGTGGTTTTCTGCGACTTGAACCACAAACTATGTAGTTATGTGAAATTTAATCTTGATATTATGGAGCGCAAAAATAATTATGGAACCAGCTATCACTTGCTCCATAGTTTCGCAGTTCAATTCTCAAGTGATATATCCTAGGAGCAACTTAGCGTAGACTACTCTCACTTTCCCCACTAAACGAGTCATGCCGCACTTATCCCGCCACTGTTTTTTTTTTAAATCAAAACAAGCCCCATCATGAATTGCTCAATACAGGCTTATTCACCACGAACTCATCCCCCCAACAAATCCTACACTAACACCAATTCCCTCGCTGTCTCCGCCTAATACCGAAACCTGCAATTTGACATCAAGCACAGTTAAGCTATCCAAAACTCGAAACGGAGCGCAAATTGGCATCACCTGGATGGGGAACAGGTGGGTAATCCCGCGCTTCTCGAGCGTGGATACGAGCTGCTCGGGCAGGCCGAGCCTGGCAATGGCGAGCTCGTCCTCGTCCCCCTCCCCGCCACCCACCGCCTCGACCCCCTCCTCGTCACTCCCGTAGGCCCCCTCCTCCTCCTCCTCCTCCTCGTCGCTGAGCTGCAGCCGCTTGAACGCGTGCTCGCTGAGCACCGAGTTGGGCGACGCGATGGCCCCCGCGGCCGCCCACCGGCCGCCGCCCGCGCGCCGCAGCGCCCAGCAGCGGAAGGCGGCGCGGAGGCGCAGAGACGGCGCCGCTCCGGCTCCCGCGGCGGCGGCGGAGGCGCTAGGGTTGGAGAGGGAGAGGGAGGGGAGCGTGAGGAGGGAAGCCATTGGAGAGGAGAGGTGGGAGAAAGGAGGAGGGGGGAGAGAGAGAGAGAGGGGGGAAGTGATAAGAAATGAAACGAGCGGCTGGTCTTGAGGTGGTAGGAAGGCGAGGGTTTATATGGCGGGGTGGGGGTAGCATTGGATAGGGGGACGGGGAAGGGTTTGGGGGAGAAGGGTTTTTGCGGGTCGACGAGGAGGCCTCTCGTTCACAAGAACCACTAGCACAGAGAGCCTATCTGTCTCTGCCTTGTACTCTTCTGCTGCTATCATACCAGGGTCCAGGGCTCTCTTTTGAAATATCTCAGGCTTAGTGTCATACTCCTATCTTCTTGGATAATATTAAGTCTGCAAATTATTCATGGTCTGCAAGTATATGGTATGTCTACAGTCTGCTTTTGAGTGGTTTAATATCTTATTAGTGATAAAAAAAATGAGCTATATCTATAATTGTTGGTGTGTTAGTTCGATCATTTAAGGTTTTTTTTCTTGAACATGCTATAAAAAACCGCACACATGAATAACATTGTCATACGCTACAAAAAGTTTACGGGAGGTTTGAAATGTAAGAATTAGAGATGGTAATTTTGGATAGCTCACAGGAAATAACACACAAAAATTTATTTGTGGAAGAAATAAATAGTTGAGAGAGGAAAAACAGTGTGCAATGGACTTCAAGGAGAAGCATGAAATCCAAACAAAGGATTTCAAGTACATTGGAATTTTAGTATTGTTTGGCTGCAATTTATCGTCGCTGCATTGCAACCTGGCTTGGCTATGATGTAGCATAGCCGAACAAGCATTTTCTTATGAAATGATGTTTAGGTATCCAATCCATTAGATTTTGTACTATCTTATTCTTTTGTTTCAAATGACTTGATAATAAAATTTCTAAGTAATAAAATCCTTTAAAATTCTTATGAAATTTATTCAATCCAAAGGAGCCCTTGTAAGAACTCTACCATCATCGCTACCTTTAATTCTTAAATATATTCTAGCACCAAACACATTAGAATATTGTAAATTTTAAATGATTGCGAACATATTTTTACTGATTTCCTCACTGTAAATTAAATTAAGGTTATTTGAAAACAAGAGAATCGGTTTGGTTGGGAGGTCATAGTTTGCTAACATCCCTAAGGTTTTGTTCAGATAGGTCTAAATATAGACCATTCTACGTGTACGGGCCTAAAATTTGTACTAGGCTGCCCGCCTACACATAAGGACGGACCGAAATGGACCGTATTCGGTATAGAACTCCGGAATCCTAGAACTCCACAAGCAGAAAAGGAAATTGGGCTTCAGAAAAAGGCCAATATACGTAGCGGGCCTGATTCCTCCAATGGCCCAATACTTCTGCTCCACCCGTGAAAATTTATCTTTTTACGATTTCTCAACAAACTTTGCACCTCACCGTTATTTTATTCAACTTTGTCTAAACTATTTGTTAACTTTATATCCTACGATATTTAATTGATCCTCAATGAGCTAATCAGATTTTCAGCTCATTGGCGACTGTCCAGCTCACAACTTCACAGATGTTTATATCTGAAGATAAATTGTTTAGTATTTCCCCTTCAATCCACTTCCTGCCTTTGTTGTTATCTTGCTAATCCTACATTTTCTGAATCTTTCCAATGTTACAGAAGAATTATGCACTAGTTTGATTACATTTGGGATCATTCTTCTTAACCAAAACCAAATCCAAAGCTGGTCCCTGGAGCAGTCATTGGTTAAGCATCATGATAATATAATAATATAAGACGGAATCAGCAATCGGCGCTGCAGACTAGCTGGCATTCAACCAACAAGTACCTACCTGACTGTCATTGCATAATCTGAAGTTCTGGACCATTTGGATCGTGTCTCTGTAGTTTTTTTTTAAAAAAAAGGAATAATATTCAAATCAGGCAGATTATTGTTCAGGCAATCAAGCCAGTGGGTAGCAAGCTCGGGCTTAGCTGTATCAGACTATCAAGCAGAGCCAGCAGAGATACTGTTTGTTATGTCAAGCTACCGCTTATATTAATAAAGTCGCCCAAACTGTTAGTTATGACACAAAAGATACGATGATGATTAATATAACAACAATTATAATTATAATTATGATACCATTTTTTTTGCTGGTATTAATAGCCAGATATACAAGATGCTAATAGCAGTTGCTGCATCGGATTTCAGGCTGTAATATTCAGACGTTGACGTAACTGTCGGCTGCAGCAGGTGCCCATTTTGGCCAAGCTAATTAACTAATCATACTTAACTTGCACATTAGTACAAGTGGTGGATTTCCTACGTTATCTCAGCTGTTAATTGCAAGTCAACTTACCCAGAATCCGCGTCAAAACAATGTCACGACAAATGTAAATGGACAAACGTACATTACAGTTCTCTCCCTGATTCCATATTAATTGATGCTTTAGATAAAGTTGATATCAAACTTTTATAATTTTAACCATCAATAACTTTAAAAAAATATTAAGTTTAAAAGAACTAAAACAATATATACAGATTTTTCTTTAAAAGCACTATAATAAAAATAGATATATATATATTTATTATATATTATAATAGAAAAATAAGGTCAAAAATATAAGATATATTTTGTAGACTGTGTCATTGTTCAAAACGTTAATTAAAATAAAACCGGAAGGAGTACAAGATAAATCCCCGTATAATTGATTCTCACACAAATAATTACATGGATAAACCAAAATCCCTGAAAATTTCGTACGTTTTTTTTTAATAAAGATCACGCGGTTTCATGCATCAAAGCTCTCCGTAATGTTGGAAACTTCGATTATGGTTTGAAAACAAATTCAGAGACAGCAGACTCGCACACGCTTCGAGAGAAGACGAAGGAAAGAAATCTGAATCTTTCCTTCTCGAAGACCGGTCCCCTTCAAATCCCCATAGAAAAAAAAAATTCAAATCGAGCCATTAAATTAAACTAATGAAAAATCAAACGAAAATTAATCAAATCCAACCAACGTAATCAGAAGCAGATGCAAATTAAACACCTCCTCCTCGCACAGTTAACCCCTTTCTCCTCCTCCTCCTCCTCCTCCTTCCCCAACCACTCGCAACCAAAGGCGCACCAAACCGGAGCCAATCCGAGCGCTCCGGCGGCGGAGGCGGCGGCGGCCGGACCTACTCGCTGCCGTGGGTGGGGGCTGGGAGGGAGCGGGCTGGTGGCTCGTCCCGTCCGCGATGGACTGGGCGGCGGCGGGGTACACGGCGGCGGCGCTGGTGTGCGCCGCGGCGGCCACCGTCATCGCGCTCGTGCACATCTACCGCCACCTCCTCCACTACGCGGAGCCCATCTACCAGCGATTCATCGTCCGCCTCATCTTCATGGTCCCGGTAATGCAACGCAGCTCGTCCCCGTAGCTCCCCCCCTCGCGCCAGATCTGTCGATGCCTTCGCGGTTTTTAGCGTTTTTTTTTGTGGGGGGTGAATTCGTGGGGGGGGGGGGGGGGTGGTTTCGCGGTCGCGAGCTGGCCTGGAATGCGAGCCCGTTTGGATGGCTTCGATTACGCGTCGTTCCGAGTTCCCGCCTCTGATTCATGGAGCCTAAGCACCTGCAGGAGGCTGCAATTAACTTGCACATGATTTTTTTTCTTTTTCTTTTTGTGTGCGTGGATCTACGAGTAGATTTGTTGGTCCTGTTAGGTTTGATCGGTGTCCAGATGTTGTGTTGAAGAAAATTTGATAGCACGGCAACTCCGTGGCTGCAATCGCTGTGCTGATTGATGAATTTGCTCGAGCTAGCTGATCCTGATGATCTTTTAATGGTTGCAATCATTTGTATTATCATGTTTCATCTGGTGTACATTTACATTTAGCCCTTATATTGAATTGATTTTGTTTGCAGCACTTCAGCATATTAACTCTGATGATGTTTATTTGTTGCAGGTCTATGCCGTGATGTCGTTCCTTTCCCTTATCTTACCAGATAATTCAATATATTTTAATTCTATTCGAGAGATGTAAGTCAATCTTATAATCTTGCCCCTTAATGTGAACTAACTGTTCTTTTGGATTGTGGTTCCTGTTTTCTGCTCACTTGTTGGGAGCTGAACATGTAATCTTGTATCTCCAATGATCTTAAAGTTATGTTGTAGACACTAGACAAGCAGCAAATATAAGAACTGCCATAAAAACTTTCTTTTGGCATTCTCTAATTGCCAATGGGCACAACTTTTCTTTTGTTGCCACACGTTAGTATGATTTGACATCTGTGCCAGCATTGTTGATATTGCTGGTGCACCATGTCACATTCTAGCTCTGATGCACTTCTTTTGCTATCACCTGATTTATACTCCCTCCGTTTCACAATGTAAGTCATTCTAGCATTTCCCACATTCATATTGATGTTAATGAGACATATATATCTATCTAGATTCATTAACATCAATATGAATGTGGAAAATGTTAGAATGACTTACATTGCGAAACGGAGGAAGTATATACTAGCAATATCATCATGACAACATTGGTACACTGCCCATGTCTTCATATGTGTTGTGTTTACGTTTAGCTACTGTGTTGATAAGCCTCAGCAATCACTAGTGTAGAGAAGATCTATTATGCCATTTGCGCCACATCACATGCATTCATATTTCTAGATGTCGTTTTAATCCATCAGCCCATGAACCATGATTTCAGATGTTAAATACACTTGATATATGAAGACTATTGTCACTGTTAATCTTGAGTGTCTTACTAAGACCAACAACACACATGAAGAAAACAAGGGGGAGAAAGCGCATTGAATGATCACCACTTCTATATAACTACAAAATCATCATAATCTGACACAGTATGCTAATAAGTTATTGTAATGGAAATGCTAATAAGTTATTGTAATGGACATGGCCTTCATTCTTACAGAACTGCTGGTTTATAAATTCTATGAATAATTTGATGCCATGACCAAGGATATGATTCTATTGCTGTTTTCTTGTCTGTGCTTGTTAAGGGCGTAAGGCACATAGCCTCCTATCAATGTTTTATGCGATCGTCGATACTTTTTTTTTCCACGTTTTGAATTTTTTTTACTGCACTTGTGTTTTAGGATCTGAACCAATAAATGCATATCCGACTAATGTTAAAATCTCTCTGATTGTTTTTCAGTTATGATGCTTGGGTCATCTACAATTTCTTTTCACTTTGCTTGGCATGGGTTGGAGGTCCTGGTGCTGTGGTGGTAAGTTTGAATGGGCGAACCCTGAAGCCATCGTGGTTTCTGATGACTTGCTGTTTTCCAGCTATTCCTCTAGATGGGTGCGTACATATCTTTTGCACATATTAAGTGCTTATTGTAACAATCTAATGCTTCAACATGCAGTTGCACAGTAACATTCAGAGAGTATGTCATATCTATGCAAGTGCTGATTAAAATTATGTTATTGGACAGGCGTTTTATTCGGAGATGCAAACAAGGCTGTTTGCAGTTTGTGATTCTTAAGCCTATTTTGGTGGTTATTACCTTCATACTTTATGCGAAAGGAAAATACGCAGATGGAAACTTTAGTGTCAAGCAATCCTATCTATACATTACTATCATATATACAGTCTCATACTCAATGGCACTATATGCTCTTGCGGTGTTCTATGCGGCATGCAGAGATCTGCTTCGGCCATATAATCCTGTCCCAAAATTCATCATGATCAAATCAGTAGTGTTTCTCACATATTGGCAGGTAAATATACAACAGTCAAAATTTTTTCACATCCAAGTACGATTGCTATCTCAAGTTCCAATATGTCTTATCAGACTGTTTACAGTAAAGATGTTTCCTAGCCAAGGAATTGTTATGTCTTGGGTCATGCTATATTTTAAAGTTCTCCTTTGCAGGGTGTCCTGGTTTTCCTTGCTGCAAAATCTCGGTTTATCAAAAATGCTGAAAAAGCTGCTGATCTCCAGAACTTCGTATTGTGTGTTGAAATGCTCATAGCAGCTATTGGCCACCTATTTGCATTTCCTTACAACGAGTATGCTGGTCCCAATGGTCGACCTTCTGGTGATTTCAAGGGAAGCCTTCTGCATGCTCTGAAGTTCAATGATTTCTACCATGATACTGTTCATCAGGTAACCAGGATATTGCATATACCCCTTGCATCTGGGGGCTTTGTTTTTCCACACACATCACCATAATATGCCAATGTCTTTGTATAATCTGCTCCATTCTCATGCAGTTTGCACCTACCTATAACGAATATGTGCTGTACAATCACAATGAGGGAGACAGCACTCAAAGGAAGTATCCTTCAGTGAGTACCGTGCCATCCGGGCGGGATGTAGAATTGTCTGGCATCTCTGTGATGCCTGCGAACAGTGCGGTGACATCAAGCGTATCGTCAAACCAGGCAGATCAGGAAGAAACAATGAGCACCCCAATCAAGGACAGAGTTGATAATGTAGGGCTTTACGACCTGACAGACTTGCTTGATGTGGATTTGTCTAACTACCCAGCCAAGGTTCCTGCAATCTCTGATGTAAGAAAACAATGACATTGTGATGGCCTTTGGCGGGTGGCAATCGGGGAAATCGTGTTTTCCGTTTGATCATAGATAACGCTGTAAAAATGTGTGTATTACTTCCCATTGAAGGGAGCTATTCATGTCAGCACCTGTCTTACGGCCTCTCTGACTCGCTCTTTTCGCTAACTGTAAAATGTTGTGAGCTTAAAGTGAATTGAAAGTGAGTAATACCATATCTGCATTTACTGATGGCAATTTCTGTGCATTCACGGTACATTAGTATCATCCTTTTTCTGAAAATGAACTTTAAGCAGCCTATGCGTTGTGTGCACTTATAGGTGTCAACATTATAAACTTTTCAAGTTCTTACTAAAAATGGTTTCATAGTATATGATCCATATGTTAAACTATATACATATTTTTACAAACTAACGGTCAACATGTTTAATTTAGGACAAACCAACAAACGATGATTTATTTGAAACGGAGGAATTCTAACAAATGCTTTTACTTGACGCCTTTGTTACACTTTATCCACAGTTCAGTGTTTAGGAACAAAGAATCACTGTTTCATGACGCTGTAATTTGTTCAGACAATACAGCGTTTATGAATGTACACTGCAGAATTGGGAGCTTTGTGGCTTTCTTTGTACAAAGAATATGTCAAAATGCTACTGGGGGTTTGCATAAAGTTCACCCAAGTCAGCTAATAACTCACATTTGCTCTCTGCCTAAAACATCAGAAATCCAGAACTCCAAAATCCTGATAATATGCTGTCAAACCAAAGAACACAGTAAATATAAATCCAACTTTGATATCTACGAGCGAAAAGAAAAAGGAAAAGAGTTCCATTGGGAAGATCAGTAATGGTTATACATTTCAAGGATCAAGATTATTAGTGTATGCCGCAGCTGTATCATTTACACTTATCAGGGCCTCGGAGGATTAAACAGCACAATGCAAAGACGGATCATTCATCACGTGGCTGGCCTTCTGCAGCATTTTGAGCCGTATTCTGCTCCCTTGATTGCACCTCTTTATCATCATCTTCAGCATCTTCAATCTGGGAATCAGAATAGGAATCACTTTCAGAGGTGATGGCTCCAGAGCAGGCTTCACCGTCCTCTCCATGGAAGAACCTGGCGAGCGACAAGGGATTGTAAGTAGAGCTGGCTTTGCGGAGGCCCTGAATCGCCTTCATTGCCGCGAGTGTGCTTCGGTACACGTCCGAGGTTTCAACATCGACAGATGACGCTGGGTCATGGCTAGCCGCATCATCATTCTGAGGTTGCAACTTAGCAGAGGAGCTAGCAGACTCAAGTACTTCTGCTTCGATAGGAAACAGGAGCTCAAGATTAGCCTCACATTCTCGAACAAGCCTTGTTAAAGGTTCCGTTGTGAAAAATGGTTGGTGTCGAGCACGTTGAGTGAAAGGTAGGCTGAGCAAACCACCTGTTCTCTTGTCATATTTTTTCAGTATCTTCACAAGTCCTGAATGCACACAATATCAAGGCATTGCATGAGAAGTATACTACTGATAACATACTTCAAACTAGCCAACTTGGTTTGATGAGCTCACCGGCAAAATTTAGGGAGCTATAGGTTTGCAGAAGAATCATCTCCCCATGGATGATGACAAAAGCTTTGCGTATCTCTAACATCTCTTCAGTGAATTCGCTCTTAGATGTAAAAGCCCCATTCTTCTTAGCTTTGACACGTTCAATTCTTTCTTTGAGCACCTTCATCAGCAAGTGTTAGAACATTTCCAGCTCAAGGAATATACAAAGATAAATAAATCAACCGATGATTCAGAAAAAAGAACATGAAGCAAATTGATACAAACTCACTAAATGGTTCCTTAAAATTACCCAAGCAATCAAGAAACAAAATGCCAAAATCTAAAGAATGTCTAAAGTATGTAGGAACTAGGAAGATTTAGATTTTATCTTCAGCTGCTGATTGAAAGGTGGTAATTCATGCTATTTGTACAACCTTCCCTTTAAGGCGTCAAATGTTTCTTAAGACTGTTTATCTCCAAAAACCTTTCTACTTCTTTGCCATTAATGTGTCCAAGACCATAATACCATCTGCCATTTAACGATGGGCCCTCATGATAGAATAATGATGCAGATGCTTTCGAATGATCAGAACTTGATGAATTGAAGCACAAAAAGAGGCTGTTCAGGTACTAAACACTTGGTATACACAAGTTCACAAGTTTGGAGGGTAGAAGTACATCCTAGTATGTTAAACAATCTAATTGCTCAATCAATTGTGCTTGGATGATCCACAAAAATGAAAAGGTAAATCTAGCTCATCATGGCAGGATATGATTATTTTGCAAAGCCAAGTGTACTTGTTGTTTGCATAACACATATCATCGTTTGAGTGTCATGGTGTTAATACCACACTAACACAGCAGTATCACAAAGACACAAACCACATATATCTGCATTTCCTGATGTCAAGTTTCGTGCATTCGCTACAGTTTCTAATCCTTTTCTTCCCTGCATACCTCAATCATGACTTCAACTAAAGTCATTTCTGTAGGAGAAAAAAGACATCAAGTACAACTACTCATTTTTCTTGGAAGAAGAAAAACTTTGTGATGGGGCATATTGCGTGCACTTAGTAGGTGTATGACTTGATGTCTTGACCACAATACTGTTTACTGAGGCAGTACTCAGTCATAGAATTGCAGGAATGTTTAGCTTCTTCTTGTACCACTGCATAACAATACTATTGATGCTTCACATATGTTCATTTAACACTCATAATTCAACCATTACTGCATAGATCGCCTGCACAGGCCGAAATTAATACTAAATCATCTGGGAATTGGGAATCTGTCCAAGATCAATCCACATAGGAGTACATAGGTAACCAATTGGATGCGATCCGCAATTAAAAGTTTTGACATCAAGAACATCTACTTCATCTCCCCATAATAATTGGGCTGTAGCTCTTTTGAGTAAAGGCCAGGATGCTATTTCATTCCATTATCTAAAAAAAATCTCCCCCCACAAATTACCGGTCCACTGTTCCCGCATCGGGCATGACTTCACGCATTTATATAGGGAAAAAAACGCAGAAACGAGAAGAGCTCATCGAAGAAGAACAAGAGCGCACCTGGAGGCGGATGACGTACCACTCCTCCCTCTCGATGTAGAAGTCGTTGAGCTTCTGGAGCTCCATGTCGAGGACCCTGGCGAACCAGTTCCCCAGGGCGATGCCCCCATCCCCATCCCCATCTCCCGCAGGCACCTCCGCCGCCGCGGCGACGGGAGGGGGATCTCCATCGGGGGGCAGGTTCTTGATTAGCTTCTTGAGGGACTTGTACGCCAGATACTTGTCCCTCCACGCCGGCAGCGTCTCCTCCAGGTGGCTCCTGAAATCCTTCCCGAATTTCATACTCGATTTGGAACAGAATTCCTCGAAGAATTCGCAGGAAATCTCTTCTCCCTTAATCTGGCTCGGAGTGGGTTGGATTGGAAGAGCGACGCGGCCCGAGGGGAGGAGGAAGACGCGCGCGGGGGGGGGGGGGGGG